CCCCGGTGCGCACGTGGCCAACGGCAGACGAGTTCGACAACATCGTGGTCCCTGCAATACGACGGTTAGAGTATGATGGTCCTACACCATACTGTAGGGAGTTGATAACGCAGAGGAAATTGTAAAACTGATTGATTGGCGTTATCTACATCTACATGCATGACTACTGTGACTATACTATATCTAATGCTATATATACGTGCGCTCTGCAGAAGGAACTTCTGATGTCCATGGCCGAGCACGCCGCACGCCAATCGAGCTTGGTCGTAAACTGACGTCAACAGTGACGTCTGTTCTGATTGGTCGATAACCCTATGACGCCACTGGAGTGACGTCGTTACACATACTCACTGGCTCCTGTCTACCGCCGACTCACCACTATTGCATATCAAGTGTTTGATTACACTGGACATGACGCACACCTACCGATCGAAGCGGAAGTTCCTTGGCGTCTCCCATTCTACGCCAGCTACAAGGACACTTTCACAGAAGTTCGTGAATGGTCTCCAAAGCAAATTAAACTGGTTTGCTTCAATCCACCCACACCCACCCGCAACCACCCCATGCTACGCACTCATGCTACATTATTGCAAGTACATAAGTACCTCCAGCTCTTTCGCCGTGTTGTCGCTGTTGCAACCCCTCTCCAAGCTGACGTGTGGAACCGAGCGCAGTACCGAGTGCTACCAGTTGGCTACTATTTCTACAGTACCATATGCAGTTAATCGACCCAAACTGCATGCAATGTCCGTACCATGATTGCGACGCGGTCGAAACCATACAGCATGCTCTGATGGCTTGCCCTCGGATCCGGCCACTCTGGGATGTGATTTCAGAGCCATGGCTACAATTTGGGTTGAGGTTTGAATGGACCTACATTCTGGACGTGACGAAAGTTAACCCTGCTCCTGAATGGATCCATGTAGCCCCTATGCTCGTGGTTCTGTGGACGATGCTCACAGCAGGCGTGATGCGGCGTCTCTGGATCTATCGTAACAAGGTCAAATACGAAGGTACTGCTGGTCCCTATGTCCCTGTCATGCTAGAGCTCGTCCTCCTGCAGTGGTCTATGCAAGTCCGTCGGCATCTACAGCTTCCAACGACGCTGGACGACGAGCGAACCCAAATCCAGACCGTCTTGGGCCATTTTGGTCAACATCCCAGTTACCACGGTTTCTGGTCAAAATATCCCCTGCACTTTTCGGTCAATCCGCTACTTTGGCGGTTACCGCTTAGGTGATACCACACTATTTATTGGTATTTAGGAACAAATACTGTACAGCAGTAGAATCACAAGGTTGATAGAACTGTAGGGTTAAAAGTCAAATACACCCCGATGTACAGTGGCTGGTTCTTTTGGAATTGCTGTTAAGCTTAGTGTATACAAAACGAATCTGAGCACAATGAATTATATCCAATGAGCAGCGACCACACCCATTACTACAGGGTTAGGTCGTCGTAGGAGCGGTCAATTAATGAGCTCTCAGAAGTACTAGTAGTGTAGTGTTACAGTACAGTACTGTACTGTACTTCTAGAATTACAAATTCTGACAGAAGTTGTAGATTCTATCATCATCACTCTTGTAACGTTTTTTCCTGTTTACTGTTACGGGCTCTTCCAAGGGCTGAAACGAACGGAGCCAATCAGAATCGTTTCGTCGTACTTTGAAATTACTTTTTCAAAGTACGATGGCGAGTCGTGTTTTGGTCGTGTTTTGGGCATTCCAAGTAGGTTAAAATGATTGGATTTCGTTTTACTTGATCTAAGTATTGGATATTCTACTCGCACTCTGGGGCTGCAGGTCCACGCCGAGCTTGGTCGGAGCCGCCATTAGTGGGCGTGTTCTTGTCAACGGCCCCACCAGGAACAATGAAATCAATCCCACTTTCGCAGGATACCTTTGGGGTCATACCACCGTACCGCTGTAGACGCTACGGCTGCCATGACGATACATATGGTAACAGCGAGCCGTACCGTGTCTTGCTCGCGGCACGGCACGGCTTGACTGCTCTTATATACGAGGAGAGCCTACCGAACATCATGGCGGAGACTTCAAAGCTATAGCTACGCATAGCTATCGTCAATATACATGTTCCTACGAGTCGTATGACGGTAGCGCCGCTAGGGCATGTTGCCACCTGCCGGCAAATTTCGCTGGCGAGCAAGCACATTGGTCTTTATATGAAAATTAGTATCTGAAATTAATATATAAGCATATGCCACTGTGATTGGATAGGTTTGTCCAATCCGCGTGCGCTGAAAACCTCCAAACCGAGCCACACATGTGGAAGCAGAAAACTGGGTTTAAAGTACGACGGTATTAGAGCCTGTTCGGGGAAAATACCGAGACGAAAAACCATGATGGAACGCAATCTGATTGGTGGATTGAAACTGCAATTACCGAGACGCAACCGGAATCCGGATGTGTCTTGGTTGAATTTCGTCTGGTTTGCGATATCGAACAGAGTCCCCCCGTGTCGGTTTGTGGACACCATGGGCCAACCACGACGCATGCGGATTCCGGATACAAGGCACTCACAATTCGTGGTGGACGACGAAAGAGTTTTGATACTAACCGGTAACGGTGATATTCAGAAAGTGTTTGTGATGTCCTCAATGCAATAAAAGGTAACCTTATGGTCCTAGGCAACAACAATGGAACCGGTGGTGTGATCAAGCGCTCAAAGCTCGGCCGCCACCCTGCTGCAGTGAGCGGGAAGACAGCAGCCAAGTGGTCCGACGACTCGGTGACCTGTATGTTTCGACTCAGGTTTGTGAAACTGGCCCACAAGTTTGAAAACGTCAAGAACAATCAAATGCGCCGCGATGCGTATGAATTACTTGCTGCCGAACTCTCCGTGGAGGTGGATCAAGTATTAAGCGCAGAACAAGTTCAAAACAAGGTACAACTTAGTTTAAATGTATATTCTACATATTATTGGATCATCTGGATATAAATATATATATTCCATTATTATTGTAGCTACACGAGTTGAAGAAAAAGTGGCTTAATCCAAAGGTCAAGGCGACTGGCAATGGTTCGGCTGTCCGTACGAAGCCCCAGTACTTCGACATTATGTTTGAGTATTGGGGTACCAAACTTGGTTACTCACACTCGTCGCTGTTGTCGTCCGACCCTGACGTTGATGTCGACAGCGAGGTTTCCACGCTGAGCTTAGACGTCGGTAGCGATTCGGACAGTGTCATGGGTGCAGACTCCGATATCGTTCCCCCGGAGACGAGAAATGCAAAACTATCAACTGTGGTGTCCACGAACATCGAGAAGAAGCTATTCTCTGCGAAAAAGTATTTATATTCATCAATATTGTTGTATCGTTCTGATGTATGTACTTAATTCTTAGGTCGTCAAAATCTCACACGAATCAACCGTCCCACGCTACAGCCCTGCTTCAAGGCCATCAAGCAGTTGGCAATGGGCTTGAAAGCATTGGGTCGTCGTTTGGAAAACAACCTGCCGACGGTGGCATGAGCAACAAGATATTGTTAGCAATTGAAAAACAAACTGAGGCGATGGCAAATCAATCCGATCAAATCACTCAGTTGCTCCAATACATTATTCGCCGTGAATCTAATGTAGATGAAGCTCAACAATAAAACATTTTGATGTAATTCATTATTCATTTTGAACAATGTTTGGGCAATTCTATCTCGCTTGAATCTACCAACGGATCGCAGGACACTTGATGTTTCGACTGGTGTTCGTCCGTGCACATGAGGTTCTGGTTGACAATAAATGTTGCGGTCACGTTCACTGTCTGGTTCGTTGAACAATGGGTCGTGGAGTCGAAGTAATATATTGTGTAGAACCATGCACGCCATGACATTTCGGGAGGTCTGAGTCATTGATTTCTCACTCATCGGAATTTTGAGCATGCGAAACCGTTCTTTAAGCCGGCCAAATGCGCATTCAACAACCATTCGCGTAGTTGAATGTATGTAATTGAAGTGGCGTTGGCACGATGACAATGTCTTGTTTGGCTCCTCGTGTGGAAGGTACGGCACGATGAGCCATGGAAACAATGCATAGCCAGAGTCCCCAATGATGTATGAGCCACTTGGAAAATTAGTTCGGAATGAGTGATTGGTCCCCATGTCTGTTGTAGAATCCATCGTAGTCCTTCGGACGTTGGATTTCAATTAGTGTTCCGTCGATATCCCCCACAATATCCGACATGTTTTGTTTTGAACGGAACCCAAGTTCAACTTGTTGCCACTCCAGATCCGATGTTGGAAGGTGTATCCATGACGATGCCATTCCAGCAAGTACCTCAGCAAAAATGTGCACAATATTCTGGCGCCACGATTTGAACATCCCAAACACAGCCGCAACTTCTCTGTATCCACCTTGGGACCCGAGAAAGTAGACACAACAGCCACCTTTTTTCGTATAAGTGGGATTTGGTGTAATTGTCGAGACTGTTTTGCGCCATTTCCACCCGCAGTAACTCACATAACTCGACAAAGGGCTCTTGATTACAACATAAATTGTCCATAAACCATCGGTCGTACACTGGATCGACTAAGAATGCTTGGAAGTCAATCTCTGTCACGGTCTGCAAATTGTACTTCTCCGTGCGGGTCGCAGATGACATGGCAATGCACACAGCTGCCGCAGCAATGCTTCCAGCCAAATCAGCATACACGTCTCGACGGCCACATGTACCCCCATCAGAACGGTTGCCACACACAACAGTGCCACAATGTAAACAGCCACACACACCACCCCGAGGACAGCCACACACACCACCCGGAGGACAGGCACGAGCTCCACCGTTGCCACAATGTGGGCAGCCACACACAGCACACGGAATACAGCCACACACACCATCAGCAAAACAGCCACACGCACCACCACTCACCATGACAACACCACCAGTAAACCAGAACTCTTCCCTGGACACGAAATGGTCATCCGCACAATTACACCGGATAAAAAATCCGGTTATGATTTCGTCCTGGTTGAATTTTTTGTCTCGGTATTTTCGACAGGCTCTTACTTGGAAGAGCCCCTTACAGACTGGCGAAAACGATGGTGTAACCAGTGGTGGTTACGCTCACTTAGCTTAACCGCCAGCCTCTTGATGCACTCTGGGCACCTGATTACGGTTGACAGTGCGTGGCGCTGTTGGGAGGCAGTCAGAACACCCTGTTCTGCTAGAGAACATCCCCACTGCCCTGTCAGTCAGGTAGCAGCATTCTGCTAGCTGTGTAGGAGGTTTTTGTGCCTTTTAGAGGCTTTTCCTCGGGTAGAAGACAGCGCAGACATTTGTCACGAAACATCACAGATGTCGTGGCCAATAATAGTCTAGTCTGATTGGCTGTTTTTCTCTGCCGTCAGAAGTAATATACTTTCAGTTCTTCCTCCATCCACACACGTGTCTGCTGATGCTGCTTCCTACCCTCTCCACTTTATGGAAAGCCAAAATCGAGGCTTCATGGTTGGCGAAAGCAAAGTCTTCGCAGTCATCCAACTTGTGGGACATTGGCTGTTGTACTGACACGTTTTATATCTCGCACTGCATATGCGATGCCTTGCATTCGGAAACTTCGCGCCGTTGCACTTTGAAAACATAGTTTGTTCCGGATATTTCATTACTTTTGCAATATTTTAGTGCACATGTGCTTGTACTGTACTCGGACGACATGTCGACATACCTGGTATGCGCTTATCGAAAATGGACGAACTTTGATGGGGTTTTTCTCGAGCGGTGTCATACTTACTGCAATACTACTTGTACTAGACTGAGCTAGTCCATGACTAGCTCAGCCTATGCAGCATAGTTAATGCATACACATCTCTCAGGCATGAGGCATCTTACCCGCATGTACAAGCTTGTACTTGGCAACTTCGAAGTTGTCTTTCTATTCAGCTGTTGATTCAGGCGACATGCTCTTGATAGTATTGGTTGTTAATATGAGCAATGCAGAGTTCCGTGACCCGTTGTGCAGTATGCATTGAGAAATCGCTGACCTGCATCGCGCCTTTCCCGCATCTACGTACGCAGGCAAACTCTGCAGGATACAGGTATAACCTTCCACCAGGTCAAATCCAAGACTAACGTGGCCGACCATTGATGTGCCGATTTTTCTTCATTTTCATGTTCGAATATTTCAGTTGTTTTTTCGAATCCTCCCTTGATACATACATTTTTGGATGGATAACGTTGAGCTCCTTCGAATGAGCCCAAAATATATCGATTTAAACAGTTTAGGATTGCACAATTGATTTTTGAAGTTGAGTACTTTACACAGGGCGACCATTGATGTGCCGATTTGTATACTTGAGTTATGTATTGAAAACGAAAGTTTCAACCTATGTCACCAACATATGATTACCATTTTATACTACTCTGGCGCATAATAGTTGTCGCCTCCAAACAACTTCATTAAAGTATAGAACTTGTCCTTTGCACATCTGGATTATTGTATTGAACTCCAAATTTAAATATCGAAGGCGAAAATCACAATTCAATCAGGAGTATTTTATTAAATTACTTGTTCCTGGGAATTCACCATCGCTTCAAAGTACACTTCTTCAGCCAGGGTGTTGTTCAAGTGTATTAGCGCGCTCTCGTAGCTTGTTGCATCCCACTGGACATGGAAGGACGAGAGGTTTGCAATCGAGGCATCCTTCTTCATGTGGGGCAGTTTGTATTCATTGCTACCATTGATCTCAATGGACTTCTCCATCACCTTTTGAAGGGTGACGAAGGTCTTTGCCAGTGTTTCAGTGGGCAACTCAACAAACGATGTTTTTACAGCATCAATAAGCTCCTCGATTGAACGAGTACACTTTTGATACTGCAGGCTTTGAATAGAGTTAAAGAATCCTAAGTCGAGCACATTGAAGTCCGGGCTGTTCGGGGGCTGGTTCACGATTCCAATTCCACCAATTCCGTATGCAATTAACCGGTCCGTCGTTAAACATTTGTGTGGACTGGCATTGTCTTGTTGAATCAACACGGCAGACTCAAGAGCTGCAGACGGAAACTTTGACTTGATAGCAGGAATTACTTGCTCAATACCCATCGTCGAATATACTTTTGCGTCGACGGATTGTGGGGAAACAACAATTGTTCCTTTCGAACGGTTTTTGCTGTTCCGTTTGGCTGGAACAGACTCCACAATAGGCCAAACTCCAATTTTCCCGTCGAACATTTGCTTCCAGTGAAAGTCATAACGCGGGCGGGCCACGGCCGCCAAAAACATCACTTTAGTAATGAAGCGTTTAGATTTGCAGAACCGGGCTGCCAGTTCTCGTCCTCGTACACATAGTATTTTCTTTTTACCTTCGTCAAATTGAACCATTTTTCGTCGATATGAACATATATTTAAAAAAAAAATAGCTTCCATTCGACGAAGGTAAAAGAAAAGACAATGCGTACCGTAGTCGGGCTTAAATGTTGTTGGGTGTCAGGAACGGCTTAATGTAACTTGACCGTGCCTTCAAACGTCCTAAATCAGTACAACCTTGAAACTTCATACTTCTCAAAGATAATAGAATATAGAATCATGGAGGCTTTACCTGGAATTTTCGACGCGATATCGGCAACACCCCTGCTATTGCGTGAGGATGCACGGCCAAGGCTCCAGATACGGGAGATGGACCGCGACTCACACTGAAACTGTTGTGCTATATATAGCATGGCGCCACGGGTTAGCTCGCCTTGGACGCATATCTCCAGAAGAAGCTCGTAGATGCGATGATGTTGCGCGAGGGCCAGGTGCTTCTTCCCACGGACACGAGCAGGTGCGACTGCAGAAGCTACTTTGGGGGAAATGTTGGTTTGCTGGGGCATTGCTTTGACGATAACAAACGATGGACAGTGTTTGATTGATGTCAAATTGAAAACTATTGACGTAGCGGGTCAGATCGACTGCGGACTCAATGACGTGCCAACTTTGGCGCTCAATAACTCTGGAACCAAAGGGGTCCAGAACGATCGCAAATAACCCAATCAAAGAAAAGTGCTTGCGCTTTTGAATGCACCTATCAGCACCAGTTAAATCGTACTTTTAGAAAAATTCCGCCAATGAGAACATGGAGGCGACAACTAATATGCGCCAGAGTAGTAGAGGTTTATACAATTCGAACAGGTATCATGTATAGAAGTACTTTTAATCACAAATGTTAGGGTCATTAGCATGAATATATATACAAATATATATACAGTATACAGGTATCATTTGTCTAGAGGTTGAATTAAAAATCGATTTAAGGTTTGATTGGATGAATAAGTCGGCACATCAATGGTCGGCCACGTTAAAGGGGCTCGTCTTTAGAGGTTATATTATTTCACATGTTTTTTATACTTTAGAGGTAGGTTAAAGGTCCTTTACCTCCGGATATGATGTTAGAGGTTATATTATTTCACACGTTTTTTATACTTTAGAGGTAGGTTAAAGTGGCCAAATTCAATTCGCTCATGCAAAATACCCCTAACGTTAACTGTAAATGACTATTTCTTGACCAATCCCTAAGCTATTCATTATTAAAGGACTTGCATTTCATATTAGTATAAAAGTACACAGGATATACGATGTAGAAGGCATTCCAGTTCTGCCTTCGATCCAGTCGGGATGAAGGTTATCCTCGTGGCATACTTGGTGGCATCTCTCCTACTGTCATGTGTCGCCGTTAAGCGCCATACGAACAATTGGGCGGTGGTGGTACGTGCATGTGTCACTCGTCCTCCCGAGCTGTGCAAACGATGATGACGCCAGGAGTAGGTGGACGCATCGCGTTTTTGGTTCAACTATCGTCACATCACAAACGCCCTGTCGTTGTACCATTCTGTGAAGCGACTCGGGATCCCCGACAGCCAGGTTCGATGTCACACATGTTGTCGCATCAGCCCTCTTCACGCGCGATCCGTAGATCATCCTCATGCTGGCGGACCAAATGCCATGCAATGCCCGCAACTGCTTTCCTGGCAAAGTGTTTGACAGCAACACACACACGACCAACCTATATGGCGACGACGTCGAGGTCGACTACCGAGGGGCCGAAGTGACTGTGGCCAACTTCATCAAGGTCCTCACCGGTCGGCACGAGCCCGGGACGCCCGCCAGCCGCCGCCTCGATTCGGACGAAGACAGCAATGTGTTTGTGCGTCGTCGATTCGAGTTGTTCTTCTAACGAGCGACGTGTTCTTCTAACGAGCGAGCGTTGTGTACAGGTCTTTATGACAGGGCACGGCGGCGACGGGTTTCTCAAGTTCCAAGACGCCGAAGAACTGTCGAGCCATGACATAGCGCAAGCCGTCCAGGAAATGCACGTGAAAGGCCGATACAACGAGCTCTTTTACATGGTCGACACGTGTCAAGCAGGATCGCTCGCCACGCAATTGTACTCGCCCAACGTCGTCACCATAGGCAGCGCCCGGACGGGTGAAAACTCGTACGCGTACCATACCGACTTTGAGGTATTTATTGTCGTTTTACCCAAAATGTAGGGCTTTTGTGCGAAATCGCCAAATCTACTATCGATCGATTCTTTGTACTGAAATTTGTATGTGAAAACGTGTCCTGTGGTGCTTGGTATCACACTAATTGAAGTCACACACTAATTCGACATTGATGTTGATTTTTTTCTGCAATCTGATTGGCTCAATCCTTTTCTATCGATACATTCTTCTGTACATATGTTGGTTGTGTGTCGATTCATTCATTCTCCATGTCGCTCCAGTTTAGAATAAACATATATTGTCGATTTGATATACAAATTTGGGGAGGGGGTGCAATCGAATCGCGCCGACCAAATAGATCCACAATCGATCTGATTGGTTGAATTTCATTGAGAAGGTTTTGATTGGCTAATAATTTTGAGCTCATCTGAGGTAGCCAATCAAATCGATTTAAATTCCAACGAGAAACCACAACACGAAATTTCATTCGAAAGCACAATATATACAGTATCACATGTTCATTGTCTCTATGTTGTAGTACTGGCTTTTTTATGTCATGCATTGATATTGTACTATCCTCACACTATCATTTGTGTTGTCGGACTCGAAATTTCCATGTGTAGTACAGAGCGTTTCGACATCGTAATTAGCGAGATTGGTCACACTAATTTTGCTCATTTTTGCCAGTTACAACATGCCTACCGTATTTGTCGTTGATCTGTACCATGAAATATAAAACGCGAGTATTATTATAAAATTCAATATATAATCTCGAATCCATTGTACAATTCATATATTTAAAACATCAATTCTTCAAATTTCATCGTGCAATGGTACGCCTAATGCGGTAGAGCGACGTTAATATAGTGTAAACTGTACTGTACTACTGTACTATCTCTCTCCATTCTATTGTATGTGTTTGTGTACCCATAAGTTGGACGTTTGGATGTTGTTAGCATATTCCCATTTAACACAGTAATTCAAGGCATACCGTCCTTCGATATGGATTTGTTTGTTTTCTTTGTACAATCTGATTGGTTCACACGCTACAGGTGGGGCTATCGCTAATCGATCGGTTCACGTACGCCACGCTCGATTACATGCAATCAATGCAAGGCCACAAGGACAAACCGACGACGCTGGGCCACTTGTTCGACTCGTATGACCCGCAGATGCTCTACTCGAACCCCGACAGCCGCACCGAGCTGTTGGGGCGGTCGATTTACGAGATTCCCATCACAGACTTTTTGGGGTCGGTTCTGCAAATTCAGCTGTCGCGGGACGAGTACCCCCAACCAAACGACGTTTTCACGACAACGGGGAAACATGCGACGACGTTGTACGCGCATTTGTATCGCTTGGAACGGCCGACGGTTCGAACGGACGACGCAGCGGCATCGGTGTCGTCGCCACAAGGTATCCCCAAGGCGGATCCGGTCGAAGTCGCCGCGTGTGTCGCGGGGCTTGGAGTCGTGCTGTATGCGATCACGAAATTGCCATTTGCCCAGTCGATTTAACAACCCCGCAATGATGGTGAACAGCGTCACACATCCCAAGGAATAATATTGTGTGTTTTACTCAAAATTTCGTCCCGCGATTGGTTGAATCAACCGCCGAATAATCACTGGACCTTCGAAATTTCATATAAAACTGAGTTTAAGAGGTACCTTTGTGGCTGCAATGCATCAATCAATCTTTTTAGCCAATCATATTGCAACCGCCATGCTTTGCAGCCAATCATACTCCTTTGCTCGATTAGTTGGGCCAATTCGGCATTGGCTCGTATGTCAACTGTTGCGAGGAGCCATGTCGAGTGCCACTACCACCAGACACGACATTCGTGCACATTGCGTGTGGCATGAATCACTCCGCCGGCGTCGTGGATTCAGGGGCTGTCTACACGTGGGGGTGGGGGGAGCAAGGGCGTCTGGGCGATTTTATCAATCCCCCAAAACAGGCAAATTTGGCTGAAAACCACAATATTACGTAGTATAAAAAAGCAAGAATTCGCTATGAACCGATACTGACTTTTCCCACGGGCCATGTTCGATACTAACAGTAAGAAGTTTTTATAAAGTACTAGTAAAGTAGCCGTCGAATCGAATCACGAATCGACCCTAACGTTATATATAGTAGGCGAAGTCCGCCCGTATTTTCATCTTTGATTGGCACTTACAGAAAGGACAAGAATATTCAGCCAATCAGAACTTCCAGCGCGATTGAACATTGCTTAGAAAGCCACGCGAAAATTGGTAGTTTATAGCATAAATTCGGTACGAATTTTTCCGGACTCCGCCAATCGTCGCCATGGGGATATTTGATTGGTTATTCTGAACTTGTTTTGATATTCGCTACAATATTACTATTTTTCTTTTCTATGTCCTTTCTGTGGATTATTTGTTGGCCAATCCATATTTGAATAGTAGTAGTATCAAGGTACTACACTATTGAAGGAAATTCGCAATATTACTATCAAGGTTCTACTGTATTGTAGGTCTGTCTGGATCAGGCACGACCGACATAAGTGGCTCGAAATACATGAGCTTTGATCCATTTTCAATGAAATTGGGCAATATAAAAAAAACTGCGAATCGGAGTAGTATTCTATGTACCTGTATTATAAGTATTATAAGTAGAGTTCCAAGTACAGGACCATGAGTCAGTGTAGGGAGTCCTTGATCATGTACTGGTATGCTGTATGGACCACATTTGACCAAGTGACTCGTCCCGCGCTTACACTTCCAATTGATTGCCACAAGCCAGCCATCATATACTAGTATCTAGCATTCTCTTCCGTTCAATTCAGCTGGTACTAGTAACTACTACTCGTACTACGAGTAACATTAGCATACTACTAGTAACTACGATTCCATACCACGAACTATTAACTAGTATACTACATGTCGACCGAGTAGTTAGACCTGCCACCGATGGGGACAGCGCGAGCACATGACGACGATGCACACGCGGTCAGCCCGCGCCTTCCTCCGTCCCTGGCAGTGCTGGGTCTTGTTGCTTCCGCACGAAGGACACGTGAACATGTCTGTCTCGAGCATCCCCTGCAAGTGCCGCACATGCCGCGTGACTTGGGCCGTGCGGTCCTTGATCCATTCCTTGCGCTGCTCCACGAGATGGGGATTCGCCATGTCCTTCGACGTCAAGCGCGCCAGTGCCGACGGAGACACGTCCCCTCGAAGCACTCGAAGGCGAAGCATGTCGTTCTTGCAGTCGCGCAAGTTGAACAGCAGCATCCGTGCTTGTTCGCGGTATCGCTTGGTCAGCGAGTACTTCCTAGGAAGATCATTGGTGTCGTAGAACGAGGAGTAGTAGGTGACGGGTGGATACTAGTAGTAGTAGTACTACCACACGTTGTGGTGGGCGTGGAGTTGACTTTCGATGGCGATGGCGAGCCATCGACACGTCCCGGCGGCGTAGTCGTCGGACGCGTACAGATGAAACACATGCTCCAATCTCTTCTCCACCTTTCCGCGAGCCACTACATCGTCATGCTGTGGTCATGCACCACTAACTACTACATATCCGTGTGCTGTTGAAGTGTGTTACCTTCGACGGCGGCAACGCTCCATGCCTTGCATACCCGGCCACTCACCGTCACGAACGTGAACAACGTGAGCAACACGTCGTGGGGAAAGTCAATCGCAACACGTGCTGTCTTTGGCTTCTTCTCGACTGCATACACCAAAACCATCAGAGCCATCAGAGTCACATACATGCAACGGCCTTCAGCTGGTCCATACCTTGGAGGTCCAGCTCGCGTTCCATTTCGTTGACCCAATTGTCGTCATCGTCGTCGTCGGATGCGAACTTGATTTCATGGTCGACATGCATCGAGTCAGCACCGCGCTTCATGCTTGGTTCCATGGCGGTCCTGCTGCGAGGTATGGCAAGTCCCGTGAGATGGACTGCCATGAAGTTGGCGTCAGATCTGTGATTGCGATAAAAACAGCCAATCAGCGTGCGGAGGCAACAGCCAATCATAGTCGAGAATGGCGTTTTATACTGTGAATTGCGATGATGATGCATCGGTTGGGATGGTCGTCGCCGAGGAGGCTCCTGCCATGGGCTGCGTGGGACACAGCGAGGTACCTGTCGACGGCACCAAAACGCTTGTCATGGGACACGACGTTGGCGGCGTTGAAAGCGTTCAGCGAGCAACATGGACATGTCCAAGTGCCCCAGGCGTTCGTCGTCGACGCAGATCACAGCAATGTGTGGCCTGCAGAAACAAAGGGGGTCAAGTTGGGTCGAATCGTGAATCGGTTGCGCATCGCGTGGAAGAAGAATGCGCTGACGGAGGCACAGCAGATGGACTTGACCGCGCTAGGGTTCGACCGCGGCGTGCGGATGACATGGAACGACAAGCTCGCCGCGCTCAAGCGCTACCGCGACTTGCATGGCCACACGAACGTTCCGACATCGTTTGAAGTTCCGACGAACGACCCGCAATGGCCGGCCCCTTTCGCCGGTCTGGCCCTTGGCAGTGCCGTCAAGGGCTTGCGCTTCCACCAAGCCGCCCTCCCAACCTCTCGGCGGCGTGCATTAGACGAGTTAGGGTTTGTCTGGTCGGCATGGGACCAGTCGTGGCAGAAACGAGTGCTCGCGTTGAAAACATACCGAGATTTGTATGGCAACTTGGACGTTTCTCCTGATTTCAATGTCCCAGTGGACGACAACCGATGGCCTCGGGAAGTGTGGGGCATGAAGCTGCACGACGCCGTGCGCAACATCCGAAGTCGGTCGCATCGGCTCAACTTTGAGCAGCTCGACGAGCTTGAAAGCCTCGGGTTTCTGTGGGACAAAGTGGGGCAAACGTTTGCATGCCGCGCCGACGCGTGGAAAGTGTACCGTACCGTGTACAAGTCCAAGGACGTGCCGGCAGAGTTTGTCGTGCCGACCAATCACAAGGTTTGGCCCATACGGATGTGGGGTTTGCCCCTCGGCCGCGTCGTGCACTCGATCCGGTCGAAACCGTCGAGGCTGACGCTGCAACAACTGGCGTACTTGCATAACCTGGGCTTGTTGCCAAAGGACCTGATCAATGTCATTGGGTAATGAATGCATATTCAACCCTAAATCGGCACACAATCGACCAATTAAAACACAAATCACGTGGCCAATCAAATCCACTCTTCGACCAATCCAACATTGAATTAGTAGTGTCAGTCACATTGGACTATTTATTCATAACGTTACACAAAAGTAAGTACGGACGTTTTTGCGGCTAATTTCGAAAAATATCTGGACAATAAATCTACTAAATGTACAACGTGTACCTGTCTTATGTACTGTTGAGCGTCGACTAACAGGCATAACTATTGTCCTTTTACTCAATATTTGGACTACTTTTGTGCTGATTCTTTGCCAAATCGATCGATTCTTTGTACTGAATTTTGCATGTAAAGATCGTCCAGTATCACACTACTTTCAATCACACACTAATTCGATGTTGAATTATTCGAAGAGTGGATTTGATTGGCTAGTTGATTCGTGATCTGGGTTTTGATTGGTCGTATATCGATTGTCTGTCGATTTGGTGATTCTGCTCATTCGATTGACCACCCAAATACCACTCCAATTTCGAATCGAATGAACAATATGATTTCTGCTTTTCTCCTCGGACATTGAACAAACCACACAATAATAACCAGCCAAGTACTATTAGTAATATATACTACTAGTAATACTACTGTATCCCTAGTGTGTTACTGTTTCAATTTCGGAACAAGGTGGAGTTTGGACTGGTCCCACAATCGAACGAGGCTCTGCACGACAGACAGCTCCTTCAACTCGTCCGCATATGCGTACCCGACGCCGGCGGCGACGGCGGCCACTGCCACGAGGCCGCCGTAGAAGAGGCGGTCGTTGCGCTTCTTGGCCGCCGCCTTTTGCATCGTAAACGGCACCGCGCCATCATGGCTATTAAAGTCATTTCGAGGGATGGTAAAATTAGGTAAAGCAGGTTGATCAAGATGGCTAAATATAGGATATCTATGGTATATATATATATATATATATATATATATATATATATGTTGGGGCGTACGGGTGCAGAGTGCGATGGACGAGCGCTTGGTAGAGCAAGTCAAAGCCGGATTGGGAGCTCAGGCAGATGCGAAGAGGCGCGTGGAGTTTCAACGACGCACAGTGTCGCATACACTTGTCCAATGCTAGCAGCGACGTGGTTTCTTCCTATCTGGCTGTTTAGAATATATATATATATATTAATATATAGATAGATTAGAGTGTACCTCGACAGGTGTGGGTGTAGAATACGCATATACACAAGGCACGGCGTCCGATACCACTGCTTGCAGCTTGAAAATGTACTCGAACGAGTCGGGCTCTGTGCCGTCAAATAGGTAGCACACCATGTCCACGTGAATACTAGTCGCGATGGCCTCCACCATCTCATACTCCACGACCCCTTCCGACACTTCAGAGATCTAGCGATTGATAAAGGTTATATATATATATATATATATATGTGGATTGCCAGATAGAAATACAAACACACCGATATCCCTGCCCACGTTATAGTGGACAACAAACATAGCATCTTGAGCATGCCATAACTCATATAGACTGTACCAACTAGTACAACAAATAGAGTAGGCAGTAATAACTCATGGAAACTGCACCAACTATTGGAGTACTAGTATGCTCCAACTAATGCAAAAATGCACCAACTAAACATACTAATGGAGACTGCAATCACTAAGGAAGAATATAACCACACGAATAAATTGCCCATCTATCAGACTATCGGCACACCATATAGAGTCACGAGCGAGTGGAGAATGCACCAACTAACAGTTATTACCAACTAAATCACCAACTAACAATAAGCACCAACTAACAGTAGTCACCAACTAAATCACCAACTAACAGTTATCACCAACTAACAGTTATCACCAACTAATCTCGAAACGACGTACAATGAGCGTGCGTTGTGCGCCAGTTTCCTTGTCCACGACAGTGTGCACATTATGCAGCAAATGGGCGTACGCGTCGGCGGGTTTGGCGTCTCGCTCTGGGTATGACACGGCCAGGGGCTCGGGCGACAGGAACGAGTAGCTCGTAAATGCGTTCGTGAGCAACGTCTACAGCAACTGGTTACAGAAATATATCGATTTATATGGACAGATACAACGAACTTTGCCACAGCCGGGCGGACCAAACAGCAAACAGCGGATGACTTTGGCGCTGGCGCGGCTGTGCCGACTGCGGCGCCTACAACCCAATCCCCAATAATAAATATATATATAGGAACGATGATATATATATATATAGTCGAAGACGCTTACACGTCCACGGCAGTGAGTGCCTTGGTGTCGACCAACCCCAAATAATATAGCTGTTCCAGCGCCCGCAGCGGTCGTATCGCCATTTCCAAACTATAAAGAATTATATCAACCAAAAATAATATAATTATATTCACATTTGGACATATACTATGTACTATCTCGTCGTTGATTTGTTTGCCTATATATCTGTATATATATATATATAGTAACACACGATATACATCAAACATCAACCCAGTCGTCAGACTACCTCCACAGCGCCAGCCACGCCGACACATCCAACGACGCATGAGGTTCCTCCAGCGGCAAACTCGTCCACGTCGGCCGCTTTGGCGGCGGCACAATGGCAAATATGCCGTCGATAGATGCTTGGGTTAGAGGGGCGAACTGCGTGAAGACTGCCGTCAAGAACTGGATGGCCGCGGCGCTGAGCTCGCACATTTCATACTGCGCTGCGTTCGAGTCCCGAGGAACGTCCATGAGGTCGTGCGGAAGTTCCAGCTCCAGCGTGTCCGAGTACCCGATCGTGCGCAGCACCTAATTGCAGCACAAATATATATATATATTGTGCTTTTGACTGAACTTTGGACTTCGCAGTCGAAACTTCAAAGCGATTTCGAATGTATTTTCCATGTTTTCCCCGACTGATTTTACCCAATCCGAAGCGACAGGGCACGAGACTGGTAAAATCTCTGGAATGGAGTGATGTGATTGGCTTAAGGCATTCATAATCTCTTTGTTTAGGCTATTCGATTCGCCTCCCCAGTCCAATTTAGTGTTGAATACACAATATAGGAGAAGAATATACAAGCATCGGCACAAATAATATATCTGGGTGTGAATATAAAATAGGAAAAAAAGCATCGCCGACAAAAGAATCTAGCCAATCCGCGTCAAGACATTATTTTTTCCAACCAATCAGCATCGTCGATGGAATCACCACGACTTGGTGTGTGTCAATTCAATCAGGAAGTATACTAGGGTATAATTGGATTATAGAATATTGCATCCAACATGGGATGGGTCGATCGATATATTTGGACAATTCACGATAAAAAGTCCACAATGTCGGGTAGATCCCAGGGATAATTAAAAAATTAAAGACGACAACTACCATCAGATATATATATATATATATATTTCCCAAACTGTCTTACCTGCCAACAATGCTCAGGCTTATTTTTCTCAATTGCAAGCTCCGACAAGTAGGCAAACCCGTCAAAGCGGAGTCCTCGGGTATCGGTAGCTACCCCATCTGCTTTCACTAACGCCACTAGCTCCAACAGCGCATCCATGTCTTCTGGCTTCATTCGTGTTTTAAAGCAAACGTTCTAGGCAGAAATATATATTAATTATTATTACGATTAAAAAAATATAATATTCAATGACATGGCAAAGTCGTTGTTCGTACTTGGTATTCGTGCAGTTCGTCGCGACTGATCACACCGTCCCGGTCCACGTCAAAGAGGCGAAAAATACGCTTCAGCGCCGTGATAAATTTGGGTTGCAATTGCTATGGATAGCATAATATAATTTAAAAAAATAGATTTATATATTTTTTTAATTTTTCAAAATCAGACGATTGTGTGGGCACCTCATATATATATATATATATACTGGAGGGGATTATCGTAGACGAATCGATATATATATATATAGATGCATGCTTACCTTCTTTTCTGCGTCGTACAGCGGCGCCATAGGGTACAGCACCGCCTTTTGCGCCAATCCAAACGTTTTCTTGACGTTGATTAACGTTCGCGCCGAGCACTCCAAGCTATGGACGATGAACTTGTAGTTGCGGAGCACGGATTGCACGCGGGAGATCTCGGAGCCTCCCGGGAGCAGGTCGCACTTGTTGCCCACGAGCACCACCGGCATCACCTTGGTCACCTTGAGTAGGTCCAGCCAATACCCGAGCCGCTGAGACGAGATGGACCGGGACACGTCGAACACGACGATGGCTGCGTCGCTGCGGTTCATGGTCTTGATCACTTCCATCACGTCGTTGGACGAGGAACTAGTGTCGTGCAGCGAAATGGCCACGTTCTCGCGCGTGTCCTCGGTGGGGATGACAATGTCATGCAAGACACTCGGCACGCGCTCGCTGGCTTGCTGCGACACCAGGGCGGATATGAGGGAGGACTTGCCTACCTTCTCTTCGCCCAAGACCATGATGCGGATGGTCCGCTGCTTGTTCATGCTCGTCGCATTTGTCACCGAGTCGTCATGCAGTTGAGTCATCGCCATTGACAACAACGAACGCAATTAATTTGGGGTGTTGGTCAACCGGTTCGATCCGGATAATGCAATTCCTCGAATCATCCAATCAAATGGCAATTTGAACCAATCGTATCGTAACAATCAACTTCAACCTTAGATATTTTAGATATTTCGAACGACCTCAAATTGTCAAAATATGCGTCGGTGGGCTGATCAATTTTTGACAATTTCGTCCAAAAGAAAGCAAAAATTGGTCAATATAGTCTTCGAATCAGTGTCGAACGCGACGACGACGACGACGCGTTATTGTTCGATGGGTCATTCGAAAACATGACGTCAAAGGGCCATGCCAACCTGACGCTTCGGCACATGAAAGGACATGCCAAATCGGCGTATACCCTGACGGATGCCGTCAGCTCCGCCCTCCGGCTCACTGTGATCGGGATGGTCGTGGCCGTGTTCGCTGCCTTCTTGCTCTTGGTAGGCGCAGAGGTGGCCACGTTGTCGAGCCCTGGCGTGGCTGCTGCGCATCCGATGCTCGACGACACAACGCGACTATGCACATCCATCATGCTATGCGCAGCACCGTTCACCGCCGTGCTCATGTTGGCCACCAGCAGCCACGTCTGGGCGGCGAAGAACTTGGCTCTGGGTCACTTCAAGACGGTTGCTGCGTATCAAGTGGCGGGGTGGCTCTGCTACGGCGCGGTTCTATTCGCACACACATCATCCTGTACCAACGTCGGAGGGCTCAACCTGCCAATCCTATGCACCCCAGTGTCGAAGGCGACGATGGGGTTCATGGCAGAACTCTTCATCGTGTCGTCGCTACTAGCGCTGGAAACACTACGTCATTCGCCGATCCTTAGCCCCCGCACGGCAGCCAATAAGGCGCACCTGTTCACACACAACTACATGAACTTGTTGGCAGTGGTGGGGGCGCTCGTGTTGGCGCTGAGTGCGGAACGCGTCGAGTTTGCCGACAACTTCTCAACGAACGCAGCCGTGGGATCGGTGTGTCTGTGCATTGCCGCCGTGACCAGTACCTACGGCCTGGGTGGCCTTTTGGTCAGTGACAGCTGGAAGTTCTGGCAGCCGTTCTCCGGGGGCGTAGTGTTTGTGATGGTGCAGTTCGTGTCGTGGTCGTGCTTTACGACGGGTATCATCCTGCAAGCCGTCTTCTTTTTGTCGATCGTAGTTGTGGAAGTCGAACTATTCGTGGGTGTTATGGGGGTCGCAGGTGTCCTCTGTGTGGCGTCCCAAGTCGGCATGATCGTCAGCTTGTTCGTGTACCAGCCAACGACTACAACCACTACAACGACGCATCGATGGCATTTCTTGGCATTGTATCACATGGAAGGGCTATTTCCGACACTGATGGTCAACTTGCCGCCGCTGGCATTCACGCCGTACGCGCTGCCTTGGATGTTCGTTCCATCGTTCACATGGACAGACGTTGGCATCTACTTTGTCGTGCATGTAAGTGTGCAAACCATCATTTCCATCTCCTTGTCCCACCTCCTGCAAGTATACTACAAGAAAACTTCCAGTGGGGCCACCAGCCCGCCTCTCTACGTGGCACTTCCGCTCGTGTTTTCGACGCTGCCTTTGGTTTCAGTTGTCGTCCACGCGTACGTTGACCACCCCGCCGCCGCCGCGACCGTGGGGTTTGCAATCCCTTGGTATGTTTACACGTACAAAACCATGAACGGCATGCCGGCGCAAACGGGAAGCCGACAGGATAAATCCCTCCAGAAAGCGTACAGCGCCATGATAGAGGCCACGGCGCGGTACTTTTCCCTGCATTTGGTGCGCACGGAACCCCTAAGTCCGTCCCACACGTACATCTTTGGGTTCCATCCCCACGGGATCATCCCCATGACGGTGATGTGGCTCCAATTCACTGACCAGTGGCGAGAGCTGTTTCCAAACGTGTTTGCGTGTCCGTTGAGCGCGAGTGTCGTGCACTACTTTCCCGGCATCCGCGACGTCATCCAGGTCCTGGGGGCTCGTGAGGTGACGCGCACGACATTTTCCGACGCGCTCAAGAGTCACCAGTCTATTTTTGTTGTGCCGGGGGGGCAGGCGGAGCTGGTGGCATCGCAGTCCCGGCAGCGCCAGGTGCGCGTGTTCACTGGCCACAAGGGGTTTGTTCGGATGGCCTTGGAGCATGGCGTGTCCTTGGTTCCGGTGCTCAGCTTCAAAGAGGGCGAAATCCTGGACAACGTCCGGTGGCCCGCCCTCCAGCGGTGGTTCATCAAGCACTTTGCGTTCCCGTGTCCGTACTTCCCCCACGGATGGTCCGGCCTACCGATTCCGAATCGCGTGCCGCTGATGATCGCCATTGGCGCCCCCATCGCAGTCGAGAAAGTGATCAAACCAACGACGGACCAAGTGGATGCCCTGCACACGATCTACTTTGACCGACTGAAGGATCTGTTTACCCAGCACAAGGACGCTGCTGGCTGCGCTGACTACGACCTCGTGTACATTGCCAATTAACGTAACAATAACAAGTTGTTTACAAGGCGTGACCTCCGTTACGATGTTGAAGTCTTTTGAACAGTGGACGTGACAGAAGTTAAATCACCGTTTCGGCTTTGGTCTTGCTTTTGGCATAGCATTCTGATCGAAAACACGACCTTCGTCCGTCGCTCAGTCGTTCTGTCGAGGCCACGTTGGGTCACCACTGTATATGGACCTCTCCTCCATCTGACGAAGGAGTTGGACGTCGCGCAAAGATACAGGAACAAAGAAGCCACGAGAATCCTGGGGTCTCTTGTGAGCTTACTGTCTATCCATCATCTCGCGTTTACAGTACGTACATGATAATCTACTGTCAAAATGAGTGTGAACTTTGGAATCAAGAAGGTTCTGCAGAGCAGGAGCACTTCAAGCACCGGGTCATTCTCAAACGCAAGCACCAGGAGACCAGCACGCCCAAAGTGATTGAAAAGGCGGATGTCCAAGGCAAAGCACCGAGGAAGTCCCTAACCTCCAGCTGTGCATATTTTGCTAGTGGAAATATAGCGGACTCGCACAAACTTTGCGCACATGGTGTGGCTTGTGTTCGTCTCCTTTTGATATGCCGTAATGTGTGTATATTGTGTGTACAGTTTTCTTGATATAAACATGTATATATAAATACTCCTATTGAAACTCGAATGTCTGGGGAAGAGATGAGTATATATGGCCAACGAATATATATATATACTTCGAAGTATATATTATATCTGTATGCTGGTAGAAATAAATATTATATATTTGAGTGTTGGTAGAAATATATATATATATTTCTACCAACACTCAGATATATAATATTTATTTATATATATATATATATTTCTACCAACACTTAGATATATAATGTTGGTATTGTCGATTTGATACAAATTTGGGGAGGGGGTGCAATCGAATCGCGCCGACCAAACCGATCGGATTGGTTGAATTTCATTGAGAAGGTTTTGATTGGCTAATAATTTTGAGCTCATCTGAGGTAGCCAATCAAATCGATTTAAATTCCAACGAGAAACCACGCCACAACATGAAATTTTACTCGAAAGCGCAATAAAAAAAAAAAATTATTTTATGTGTGTTGGTAGGAAGATTCATATATTGTATCCATTCGGGTAGGAAACTCTAATAACAACCGATGGCGACGACAAGTTTCCCAGTACTATTAATAGTATATTTATTGTACTAGTAGTATTAAAGTTGGCCGCATACAGTAACCGTGGTCAATCGTCGTCACTGTCCAAGTCGTCGAGGGGGTTTCCCGATCGCTTTTTCATGACCCGGAAAAACTCGTCCTAGAATATTTTCGATTTGATACAAATTTGAGGAGGGGGTGCAATCGAATCGCGCCGACCAAACCGATCGGATTGGTTGGATTTCATTGAGAAATGGGTATTGATTGGCTAATAATTTTGAGCTCATCTGAGGTAGCCAATCAAATCGATTTAAATTCCAACGAGAAACCACAACACGAAATTTTACTCGAAAGCACAATAATACTATTACATAAATATCAAGAACGCCCATAATCAGCCCAACGTACTTCGTTGATAAGCCCATCGCCGTCGCGGTCGGCCTCGTCGATCATTTCCTACGCGTCAGCATCAAAGCGCCAACTTGCAGACACTTGTTGTACCTGCATCTCTTCGTCCGTCAAGTTCTCCCCCAATTCAGTGCACACGCGCTTCAAGTTCTTGAACGAGATCTTTCCCGTCTATGTGTATAGCTCGTTTGGTCAAGGACAACTGTGTTACGTACGTTGTCGTCGTCAAACAGTTGAAAGATCTTCGCCACTTCTTCCTTCGTATCCCTCGAACTCTAGGGGGTGGTGTGCTGTCACCATGCTCCATGCATCACACGCGTTTACCATGCGGCTCGTCATCATTTCCACAAAGTTTTCAAACTCGATGGTTCCATTTTCATCCTTGTCGATGTCGGCGATCATTTTCCGCACTTCGGCTTTCTTCACTTGGAACCCCAGCGCCCGCATCGCCGCCTTCAGTTCCCGGGCGTCGATGGACCCACTCCCGTCTGTGTCGAACAGACTAAACGCTTCTTTGATCTCCTCCATCTGTTCGTCGTCCAGCGCCTTGGTAGCCAAATGGGAAACCACCCATTGAACAATGATAACGACGGGTGTACCTTCTTGACCGGCTTGGCTTTCTTCCGCAATGCGGCTCTGGATCGCGCAAACGCAGACGTCGTGGCCTATAGAGTTCGGCCACATCAACCGCCGCCACGCTCCACACTGGGGATGCTTACCATCCTTGTCCTCGTTGTCCTTGTTCCACGTCGTTTGGATATGAAAGATCGGGTCTTATCCGAAAACAACCGGATACCCTTATCCGAAAACAACCGGATACCCCTTATCCGAAAACCAAAGTTGCCCCTTGTTTATTAGTTACTCAAAGAAGTCTAAAAATTAAACTAACTTCCAGTTAAACAACGACAAGCCCGATATTGGCCTGATGGACACCAGCACATGTCTAGCTGTATCCAACTATTGTACTTGAAGTAACAAGTACTTGAAGTCCTAGTTAGTATACCCGAAACAAACATCAAAAGTTGCTTGAAGTCATTATTATCCGTAAAACTAGGGATTAACTCATCCGTAAAACTAATACCATTCTTTTTCACGTTCTTTTCAGCTTATTCAAGTGGTTTTTTGCCCATTTAAAAGTAGATTACCAGTAACGTAAGCCAAACACGGTGATCGACACACGGATGCTGCTGCTGCCTACTAAGTACTACATATTTGTGTATGATCATCATATATTGTTACACCAGAGTGTTATGCATAGATGTCGGTTCAATCAGCGCTTGATTGATTCAGGGCGTTCGTCTCGTCTTCGTGGTGGTCGGTACCAGGCAGCGCTTCGGTCGGCGAATTTGGGGGTTGCTGTCGCTGCAGGGCCCGTTGCTCGCGTTGCTCCAGCTGTTGCTGAGCAAGTTTCTCCAGACTTTCGCGGTCCAGCCGCTCCTTCTCCAGCTGCGCCTCTTCCAGCTCCAGACGTTTCTGCCGTCGGGTTTCTCTGTCGACGTTCATGGCCACGCGTTGTTCGCGCAACGCGGCCAGCTTCTTGAGCTCCAGTTCTCGCTCCCGCTCCATGCTCGCCAGCAACTCGACGCGCTTTTGCTCTATATATATATATATTATCTCTCACTCTGAAAAATAAACGTACCCGCTCGAGTCGCTTCGTCGGCCATCGCCCGGTCACTCTTGAGCTTTTCATCTTCAAACTTTTCCAGCGCTTTGACTTGGATACGCGCCGACCGCTTCCGCGGCATCGCTTCCAGGATGGCCTACGAATGAGAAATATAAATATGGCATGCTCTTATGGGTGTTTGTCAACCAAATGTGTACACAAGAATCGAGCGAATATCAGATATCTAAAGGAACCTAGCATCCACTTTACGTGTATGACTCTGTGAATTCGTGTGATTGGCTCCAGACACTGTTTTACATTCGAATTGTCCTCGAGAGTGGGGATTCTAGACCCGCCAAAGCCAATCAAATCACAACGTTCTACCAAATTCACTGGGCAAATCAGGTACACTACATTGGTCAAAAAGCTTAAATTGGGATCAAAAGCTGTAAAGGAATCAAACGTCCAACTTTAGGTGATAATGCAACCAATCGATATAGTTGGCGAATACTACTACCGTATTTGTCGTTGATGTGCACCATGAAATACAAAACGCGAATATAATTCTATAATTCAATACAATCTTGAATCTAGTATACAATTCGAATATTTAAATAAATTCTTCAAATCGAATTCCATGGTAGTACACACTTAAAAGTCCAAGTTTTGGCTGAATCGACAAGAGATTTGTCGTACTCGTTTGAGGGCTTTGTCATGAAATACAAAACGCGAATATAATTCTATAATTCAATACAATCTTGAATCAAGTATACAATTCGAATATTTAAATAAATTGAATTCCATGGTAGTACACACTTAAAAGTCCAATTTTTGGCTGAATCGACAAGAGATTTGTCGTACTCGTTTGAGGGCTTTGTCTTCGTTCTTCTGCGCCTCCAGCTTATCCTGCCGCATCAGCTCCAGCATGGCGTCCGTATGCTCCAATAGTAATGCTTCTCCCGCCCACTTCCGCCCCTTCTGGACGGCCACGAACGCATCATGCATTGCCTGCACAGACTCGAGGCCTTTCGCCCACAACTGCCACACCTTGTCTCCTTCCGACAGCCGATATATTCTCCGTTCCTACACCATATATATATATATATATATATATATATATTATATATACTGTTCACAAATCTACATTCATCCTGGTCTTAATGTTTCGTACGAGGTAAAATTGGGGATAGAAAAAATATTGATTCCCACACCGATCCACGCCAATGGGCGTGATCCTCAAGTCGTCGTCTTGCATTTCTCGAATGTAGTCCCTACCAACAGTGTCAGTATATACATATATATATATATGGACCAGATATTATTTATATAATATCTTGTCCATCAAGTTGCTCTCGAACGTACAAGTTGCCAGGCTGTTGGAGCACCGTTTCGCACAAATTCAGCAGCAATTTGCACCGGGTGCTGGGTGCCACGTCTTTAAACCCACTCGCCTACACAAAAATAAGTAAAACTCTGAAAATAAATAAAAACAAAAAACGCACCTCCAGCGGATTCTGAGCGCCGAGGGGTTTCAAGCTGGTCGTGATTGCGTTGAGCAGCGCCGCGTCGTCCTCGCTCAGTCCAATCGTCACATCATCATCATCGTCGTCGTCATCGTCGTCGTCTGCGGTGGGCTGCTGGCGCGCCTTGGCTGCCTTCTCCTTCAACGCCGTCCATTTTTTGTACCGTTCGGTATAGTACTCGGCTAGTCGCTGGCTCCACCAATCATAGGCCAGCCCCAGGCCGCAGTTGAGCCGCTCGCGCTCCTTCTTACCCAGCAGGAGCTTCGTGAACACATCTTCTAGCACGGCGCTGGTCGACGGGTTCAACAGCGCCGCCTCGTACTCTCGCAGCGAGTTGTACACCTTCAACTTTAGCGGCTGCTGGAGCAACCACAGGATGTGACACGCGGCTGGGAGCTGCCACATGCCACGAAGTTCCGCGAGCTCGTCCAAGTGGACGTTCGTGCCGTGCCAGTCGGACATGTCTTCGTCGTAGAAAGGTTGGCCGATCAAACTCAGCACGCCTTCCGACACCCTCGATGCGTCGCGAGGGACCGAGGAGGGTGCCGCTGCTTTCGACACTTGCTTGACCCTAGCAGCAGGTGCCTCCTTTGCCGGTGAAGGCGACGACTGCTCATCGTCATCGTCGTCGCTGGAAGGTTGCTCGGGGGTTGGTTTCTTGCCTCGCGACGGTGTCTGTCGGGTGGACTTCCGCGCTGCTGCTTGCTGCGGCGCCGCGACCTTGGCCTTCTTGACGCTGACTTCTACTTGGAACAGCGTCGGCTTGACGCGCTTCCGCTTCTCCCACAGCATCAACGACGGGTCGGCCATGGTCTTCACGCCACAAACTTATCCAACGAGCAAATCCTATTGCGTACGCCCCGACTAAGTACGCACCACCCCATTAAGTATCCGCTCACCCTCCAGGACACTCGTTAAAATATAGTGCGTTCAGTAAAGTACGCGATACTCTGTGTTCCGTCGCCATTCACTTCCATCTCGCTCGATTGACCGTTTGACATGGCGACGATCCCGAACTTCCAGAACTTCAGTACGTCGGCGATGCTTTACATGTGTCCTGCGAGGGGGGTGTATGGAGGATGTCTCGTCCTAACTCTTGTACGTAGATGCGTTTGAAGATGCTGCCGACAACTCTGGCATGGGGAGTGGCAAGGTGCACGTTCGAGTACAACAACGCAACGGGCGCAAGTGTATTTCGACGGTGCAAGGTCTGGCGGACGACTTGGACATCAAGCGCATCTTGAAGGCATTCAAGAAGAACTTCAGTTGCAACGGCGCGATCGTCAAGGACGAAGAGGCGGGCGAAGTCATCCAGTTGTCGGGGGACCAACGTACAAATGTGAAATCGTTCTTGGTCGACCAAGAGATCTGCACGGAAGCTCAGATCCAGCTCCATGGGTTCTAGATTGATAACTATAACGACGATATATACCTTACTTGGAACATAGCATCGCTAAAACGACTATTCGATCGCTGTCGCACCGAAGAACCCGTGTTCGTGCGAAAGGTGCCTAGGCTACATGGAACTCAAGCTCCCACTTCCATCCCTTGAACCATCTACCTACCACTCAAGTTCCTCTTCATCGCATGTAAAGCCAGAAGAGGGAGGGGAGTACGACAAGTTGTGGGGTCCAAATATCATTGCACAAGAACCCTATCTAGATATTTACGCCGAGCGATGCTCGACTTGGAAGGTCACTTGATCGAACTGGTCTTGTGTTTCGGGTTGCCAAATGCCTTGGATAGTTGGTCGCTTCGAGATCACAGGTGCGTTGATTTTGGTCATCTTGCGGCCACTCGTGTCGCGCAGTCGCTGCATCTGCTTGAGCACGAACGGGATGTCCTGGTTCTTGACGTCGCACACCTTTGTTTCGTTGGTGATGTACTCGCCGATCAGCACCGGGTGCTTGTTGCCCTGCACTTCAGTCGCAAACGACACCTGGGGGTTCTCAGTCACGAACGAGAGAAAGCGGGGATCCTTCAGCAATTCCCTGACGTTCTTGCTGCTTCCTCCGTACTGGCAGTACCGCACCGTCAACTTCTGCAGTTGCCATACCCCGCGAGTCGCCATCCTGCCGTCGACGTCTTTAGCAAATGAATATCTTGGTTTGCAGGCCAGTTATTCGACCCTTTATTAGTGTGACTTAGGAATTACAGGAGTATAGTGTAAGATAGGAAATACCTGCTTGTTTTGATGTTAGTACTACTAGTGATACGATGTATTTTAATTACGTCTCTCCCAACACCACTACCGTTTGATATTTGTAGTACTATTATAATACTTCCTTCGTACTATTAACTGTAAGCTTATCAGAAAAAAGGTCAGTGTTTACTAAACTTAATGGGGTCTGTGTTTCACACAAAAATAAGCTTAAAACACTGCCAATCACAGTGCGAATATTTTCGGATTTTTTTCGTGTATGTACCATGAAACAGCAAAGACACAGTACATGAACGTGCTAAGATGCAGATAATGTGACTCAGAATATCCTGCAATTGCGCTCACTGAGGCTCATATGTGCTTGAGGGCGCACTTGAGACTATGAACCAACGTTCAAAATTTTGAAGCCACACAGAATGCTGAAGTTTAGAAGGAGGTGTAGCGTCGGTGGCTCAGCCAAGGTTTAAGAATCTCACCAGGACAATGTCGTGTTGGTATACTTGGTACTAGGTATATATTAATTAATATATCCAAACCACAGTACAGGAGATCCTATGATGCTTCGTCGTGCTCGCAGTTTTCGGAATAAAATTTGACCTCGACGAACATTATATAAAACCATGCATACTTTATTTCATACTATGTAACTTACCCTCTTTTTGTGATACTATTAATATACTAGTATACTTTTAATACCGTATGGAGGTACCGACTGTATTAGTAATCGATTGAAATGAATTGCTTGGTCATTTAAATCGATAGTATTACTAGTTGTAAAAATCCAGCCAATCACAACACTGGACACTACATTTCCCACTGACGCAATTGCCCTGCGCCGAGTCTAGCGACCTGCGGACGGCGCCGCGTTCACCCATGTTTGACGTTGTCACAGGGTACGTCCCAACCACGCCGCCATTGCGAGTACGGGCCAAACCGACCAAGTCCAAGAAAAAGCTCAGCCGATTAACGAAAGAGCAACGCGAGCTGCTCGCTCAAAAGTACGCCAACAACAATAATCAATCAGGTGAACATCGGCCAGAGGCGTCGAACGAGGACAACAACCTGTCACACGACACGACCGGCGAGACCTTGTCGTACGACGACGCGGCCACCAAGATCCAGAACGCGTGGCGGTGTCACTTTGCATGCCAGTTGAAAGCCCGGCTCCAGGCCCAAATCGGCCGCCCGGCCCAGCTCCACGTCCACAAGATCCACGTCTCCGCCAAGTGGCTGCGTCTGGGCGCATATTGCATCGTGACAGTGCTGCGGCGACCGTACGGCCCGCTCATGTACCAGTACAAGACGGATCTGACCAAACAGTCGGCTTTAACTTCCCAGGCGCCGTTCTTCGTGCCGATCATGTCGGCCAAGTACGACGTCATCGTGACCGTGGTGGCCGAGCCATCCAAGCTGCAGTACCCCGTGTTCCTGGGCCAGGCGGTACTGGCCGTCGACGACTCGTGGGCCGACGACCATCAAGTCCAACGCAACGTGCCGTTCCAAGGCTACCGATTTCCAGTAGACGTCCAGCTGCAGAACTCGGACCGACACGTCGAAGGCCACGTAGTCTTGAGCCTGGTGTCGCTGAACGCGTCTGTGACATCGTTCTCGGGCCCGCTGGCCGTGCGCCCGTCCGGCGTGACCAAGACCCTGGCCAGCATGCGACACCGCGTGGGCAAACTGTACATGAAGAACGGCATGTCGTACGAGTCGGCGCTGTCGTGGTGTCAGAAGGCGCCGGATATTCTGCAGTGGGGCGTCTTGACCGACACGTTTCTGTCCATTTACCACCAGCGCGCGTCGCTCCCGCACAAGAGTTTTGACCTGCGCCGCATCCAACTCATCCATCACCATCATATTGCTCGGTCAGACGATGGCCACAACAAGGACATGCATCAGCTCAAGATCTACCACGAAGGCATAATCCACACATTCGGCGTCGAGTCCAGCTACGAGTACCGCCAATGGGTGTACCGCATCGACGCCAATCGACGCAAGCTCCTCGTTCCTTAACTTAATCGTTTAACGTGTCTATCATCGTCTGCAACATCGGGATTGTTAAGGTATATATATTGTTGAACGTTATATTGGGCATTTCACCCAATATGTGCGTCATTTCGCTAACAGTAAGTAGCATTCGAATCCACGTGATCCAATTTAAGCTTGTACAAACTATACTTTACAACTATTAGTATATATATATATGGGTTTGGAGGGACTGGACCGAGTCAAACAACTGGATTGGCAGAAATTCACTAGAACGTGATTTGATTGGCTTAGGCGGTTCTTTAATTTCTTCACTGTAAAAGACATTCGATTATTCGTTCACCGCGTTGGTTTTAAAGTACTGACGGTGCTACATGCGAGTCGAGATGGTGGCCGCCAATCGAATGGTGACCGCCAGTCCAAATAGAGCTTGAGGAGACGCATGAGGTGCTGTAACCAAGTACTATTCGAGAGGGCTTCGTACGCAATGGCCGAGTCCAGCTTGACGTCCGACTAATCCAATTGCATCATCAGTTGGTGGAGCTGCGGAAGGATGAGATCATGGTAGCTCACGGGGTCGAAGTCCTCCTCCGCTGTACCACTTGAGTGGCAGAATGGGATGGGTTCTGAAGTTGTCATACCAAGCTGCCACGTATGTGTCGGCGGCGTCATCTGCACTTACTCCACGGGCGACTGTCAAGGAGAACGGTCTTGGACGACAAAAGTCGCCGCATGTCCGTGTAGACTGCCGCCGACGTCCCGGCTTCCTTTTTTGCTTGACAATTCGCAAAGGTGATGATTTTGAGGTATTTGATGATTTTGAAAAATGATACTGTTACAGCTGTAGTTGCACTGAATATGATGAAATTGAAGTACATAATTGGATGCAATTCATGAATATTTGTAAACAATTCAAAAATTCGTCGATAGGTTTTGGGGATTGGAGGCACATGATTGGACAAAATATATTCAAATACCTTTTTGGTAGTTTTTCGCATATTTTTCGTCAATGATGCCGATTTTATACGCTTTGCGGATCTGGGCACCGTTCTGCGGCAACGAGACACCGCACTGTGATGGCGATCGTTGAATTATGGAGCGCGTACACCGACGACGCTGCGACAGCTGGACGGCCTCCCCCGAGCCAAGAAGGTCTGAGGGACGTTGGGCTACTGCTCGCCACGCAAGACCTGTCCCCCGACATTCATGCCAAACGGATCGTCGACGCCGTCACGCACCTCTATGATACCGTCAAGCAGCAGCAAACCAATGGTACATCCCTCGTTCTCTTCCTGGACCTGGTACGGTATGCATTCGAAGGTCTGAAGGTGACGAAACAGTTCGCTGCCCTCGACACCACATGCCACCAGCTCTTGCCAGTTCTATTGTCGTTGATCGACGCGCTTTTCCGCGCCAAACCGCCTGTCTCTGATGCAACTCTACCCGCCGCCGTCCTGACCTTTGTCATGGACGTGCTCGTGGGCTACCAGCACTCGTCTGCCTTGTACGTAGCTGGCGGCAACCGCTTGCTGGCGCATTTCGAGACCATCCAGCAGTGGTTGCACTCTCCCGATCACGTCGTCGATCTATCGGGGATTGGTCGCACACTGGTTCTCACCGTGTGTTGTCTGGCCCGCCTCCATCCCGGGTGCAGAGACCTGAACGCTGCCTTCTCGACGAACTTGCTTGCAAACTTTGGGGTCACTGTGCCCGCGGCAACCGACCTCGACGCCGCCCTCCGTCATACGTCCTGGCTTCCCCCGTCCGAAGCCATTCGGAGCGACTCGATCCCCACCGTTGAAGGCCTCTGGACACTTGATGAAAACGTCCTCGCCGACGCCACGCCCCGCAGCGGGAACCGCAACGCTGGCTCCGTCGTCCTTCGCCACGTCAGTGCCTGCCATGGCGTGGCCTTCTCTGCGACGATGCACGAACCGTACGACTATGACAAGATCCTCATCGATCTCTCGGGTGACGTCGTCACAGAATTGGTCGAGTCGTCGTCGTCGTCCCATGATCTTCCGCACCAGATCTCGTTGCAAGGCCAGTGGCAGCACGTGTTGGATGCAACCGCGCCCAATTCCATGCAAACGCTATCACAGGAATGGACGTGCCCCGTGTGTACCGTGGCCAACGCCGCCGGCGCCCGCGTGTGCTCGACGTGCGCCGCGCCCGCCCCCACCGTTGACACAACCCACGTGTCCGCCCACCGAAGCAACCCCGCGCCCTTTGCCGCCACAATCGGCCCCGCCGCCGTCACCGACGCGTTCATGGATGTCCGCTGGAGTCGCGGTGATCAGCACGGCAGGTGGCTGGCGCGGCGCCAACGCCAGCCGACCGCTTTCGAGTTGACCGCGACGACGGATGTCCGGGCTGCGGTGTACACTCCCCGAGGCCGCGCGGCCGACTGTCTCGTGGTGGAAACCCTGAGCAACGTTGCCAGCAACTGCTCGACCTCGACCGTCGAGTTCTGGAGTACGCAGTGGCGACGAGATCCGTCCCAGTCGCAAGTCCTTGTAGCGAATGGCGAGTTTTCCGTGAGCATCAACCAGCATGGCCACTTGGTGTGGCAGGTAGGGGCGTCGACGGAGCTGGTGGTGCCCCCCGACTGTCTGCCGCCGTCCGCCGCCTCGTCGTTTGTCCATGTGGCGCTAGTGTGGGACGTGACGGTACTGAGTCTGGTGCTGAATGGGCGCGTGGTGTGCCAAGCCCCCCGTCCGACGGAAGAACAAACCGGCCAGCGAAAGGTGCTGGTGCTCGGGGGAGCCCCCACGGACCTCGCGTTGCTGCCCCTGGGATTGTTGGATCTACCTCGGGGGGTGTACGGCGTCGATCGGTGCTTTGACGGCAGCCTCGTCGAGGTCCGGCTGTGGTCAGTTGCGGTATCCGTCGATGTTGTAGCTCACCGCTCCCGCCACACTTTACACGGGGACGAAGAGGGTTTAGTCGCATACTTTCCCCTGGTTGGGGGGGTGCTGTATCGAGACGCCAGTCGGCACGGCCACCACCATGCCACCTGGTTCAACGAGTACCACCGCATCGCATGTCCGTCTTGGTCGTGCCCCGTGTCGCAGGTAGAGCTCGGACGACTACCCGTGGTCGGCCATCGATGGCAGTCCCAGCATGGGCTGAGTTTCTTTGGCCATATCTCCAAGAACGACCACCATGTTGGGCTGCTGCGATTGGCGAGCGGGTCGGCTGTGTGGACGGACGAGTCGGTAAACCTGTCCCAACATGTGGGGTTCTACACGGAAATGGAGCTGGCCATGCCCGAGCCTTCGTCCGTGTGTGTAGCCTGGAGCGACGTGTCGTTCTGGGACTTGTCGCCGCTGATCCATGAAGCGTCCGCCCTGGACGCGACCGCCGCGCACGACGGCCGATCCCCGCGGCGGGCTCTGTTTGTGCAGGTGACTACGAACGCCCCCAACGACGACGCCAGTGTCAGTGTGTTTGTGTGGGCGGACCAGACCGCGCACTGTTTGAGTGTCGTGCACACGACTGCGTCGAGTTTCTCAGCCACTACGCTTGGCATTCGATACGATGGCGCGGTGCTGTCCGTGTACGTGGGCAACCGCCTGCTGAGTGTGCTGTCGCTGGACCTGGGCGCGGCGCTCGCGTCCGCCTTGCAGCGCGTCCGCGTCGGCGTCGTGAGTCCGCTGCGCCTAAACTCTTCTGTTCAACTTGCCAAATGGACGTTTGAAACGACCCCCGCCGCCGTCGACATACCCAACAACGTGCCGGCGGTCCGTCGCGTGTACGGCCTCGACGCTGTCCCGCCGACGACATCATCTCGTCCGGATGCTGCCGCCGCCGCGGACGACGGAGGGGTGAGCTGCACCAAACACCGGACGGATGGCAGCGCGATCGTCCAGGAGCTGTACATGTGCCAGACATGCGACTCAAACCTCGTCTTCTGCGCTCCGTGTGCGACAGTGTGCCACCACGGCCACGAATTAGTGTGGATGGGCAAGGTCAGCGGGGCCTGCGGGTGTCACACCCGAGGAGTCGAGTCGTGCATGTGCTTTGGCCAGCCAGCCATCCAGGCAAACGAGACGCCGCAGTTCAGCCTGTGGCGCTGTGTCCAGTGCACTGTCGTGAACGCCATAACCGTATCGCAGTGCGCCGTGTGCGCGAGCAAGTCGCCGCTCCCGTCCGCCGCCCCTGCGACCCCCGTCCTCTCCACGGGACTGTTTGAAGTGCCCGCCGCCGAGTGGTCGTGTCCCGCATGTACGATGCTCAACGACGCCTTGTCGGCCAAGTGTACAATCTGTGACACGGGTCGTCCGGATAGTAATACTAGTAGTACGACGCAAAACGACGGCATCCTGAGTCTGTACCACGCGGCGGCCGAAGTGACGGGGCCGTGGTGGGTATGCAATGCATGCACCATGCAAAACGACTCATCCGACGTCAAGTGCGGAATCTGCGGGACGCTAAAGCCGCTGCCGTTGGCCATGCCCGTCGCGACCCCAGTACCCGACACGGCGACTCCGCTTTTGTCCGTGCCAGAACACGCGCCAACTCTGTCGCAGTGGCTCGCCAAGAAACACTCGATCTTGGAGCAAAAGCGTATCCAACATGAGAGTACTTTGCCTGCACTTGTGACAGCGTTGGCCCACCAGGACGAAGTGTGGGAAACCACCCAAGGCCTGTTGACCGTCAAGTACGCCGACACTTTTGTAGGGGATATCGTACACGGCGAGTACACCGACACAAAGAATTCGGATGGCGGGCTCTGTGGAGTGCTCAAGACATCACTGGACATCCATCATCCTCGCCTGGAACTGCGCGCCAAGTACAAGCCCAACGCGGCCGCGCAAGACAATTCGTGCTTGTTAATATGGCCATCACGTCAGTTGTTTGACGGGTACTGGTATCGGGGGGACGGTTCGGGTGCGTGGAAGTGCACGTACTCGCCACTGACGACCGAAGTCCGGGGGCTAGAAGCAGCTGCCGACTTGTCGTCGTCGGCACTCGTGCCGTTCTACTCGGGGCTTGCGAACATGACGCAAGGCCTGACGAACGTGTGCTACCAGAATAGCTTTGTGCAGATTCTGTTCATGACCCAGGCCTTGCGCGACGCCATCTTGGCGTGTCCGTCGCCAAACCCGACGCTGGCCACGGTCCAGCACTTGTTTGCGCGGATGCTGCAGTCGCGGGCGCCTTGCTTGGCTACCCACGACCTTCAAGCGGTTCTTCCGCCGACGTTCCAGGCCGGGCGGCAGCAGGACGTGTGTGATTTTGCGCACTTTTTGATGGAGAGTATTTCCACGGGGTTTGAGGACGCGATTCACGAGCTCGTGGGCGGTACCACGGCCACGATCGTCGCGTGCAAGTCGTCCGACTGTGGCCACGTCAGCGTCACCCGCGAGTACTTCTGGGAGCTACTGCTTAACATGGTGGACCTGCGGTACACGCCCATCACGAGCATCCGCGCCGTCCACGGCACGACGCTGCGCATCCCCACGCCAGCTCGATACGATCGGCTCAACTACGACCTCAACAAAGACCGCACGGGCGCGCCATATGTATTTTTATGTGTCCAACGGGATGCCTCCAATGCGTTGCCGATCACGGACATACTAATCAAGGTATGTGACGCCGGCGAGCCCAAGCCTACACTAAGTGGGTACAACCGGGTCGAGCTCGACCTGAACATGGGGACGAGTACTAGTACTAGTAGTACTACTAGTCCGAGCCATCGAACGGATGGCGGGTCTTTGAAGAAAGCCAGTACGTCGACGGGTGTGGCCACGACGGAATCGTGTTTGAGTGGAAATGGAAATGGCAAGAAGCAGATTTACTTGTTTTACGGGAGCGATCCCCACGGCTCACCCGTCACCGACTTGACGGTGATCTACAACCAGGACGCCGTGCCCGATGGCTTTAAAGTGATTCGCGTGGATTTGAACCAAGGAGAAGGCGCCAAGGTGTTTCTGTGCTATCGATGCGATATGCCTGTCACCGACATCAAGCTCGTGTCCCAGGGACTTCCACGCTATAAACTCATTGACCGACCCCTTCAACTCGGTCGTCCGGAGGTTGAACATATTGTCATCTACTTCGTGTTTTGAATCCATACATGTGTAGGGACAGGGGGGGGTGCCGCAGCAGTATATTGCGCACACGGACGGCGGCAGCGGGCCGTGCATCACGGGCCTCCGACTCGTGCCAGCGGACCAAGTTGCGTCGCTGGAAGCGGCGGCGTGGGAAGATTTGCACCTCGCCACCAACGATCATCCTCCTCCTTCTTCGAACCATCCCCCACTTGACCATTTGATGGTTCAGCGGGGTCATGGTAACCCGCTGTACGCGATCGAAGTGTTTCGAAGTCCCCGGATGGTGCCCAAGTACAGCGACTACGAGACCATCTCGGTGGTGACCCCTCCGCCAGTGGAGGAGCTGACGCCGGATCTGCTGCTTGGCGACTGGTTCGGCGGCGACGACATCGACCGGTCCTTCCGCGCCGTCCAGTTCACGCACACGGCGCCCAACCTGAGCCCGACGTGGACCGTGTCGGGTGTGTTTGGCAAGCACAACGGCCGACTCACGGGGGTGCTGCAGTCGTTTCATACACTGTCGCATGTTTTGTGGGGATCATGGACAGACTCGACGACCAAGTGGCCGCAGTTGGTGCATATCGTGTTCCGATTTGATGCGTCGGCGGTGCCGCCCATCGTCGTCGTGGACGGCGTGGTCGGCGACGGCAAGGCCAAACTGGTCAACTTCCGCGCGACCCAAGCCACCAACGTCGTGGTGCCGGCGCTAAGTCCGATCACAGAGCTCCTGGTCGCCCGAGGCAGCGATCTCCCCCTGGCGACGGGGGCGGGCACGTCGGTGCTGTGCGGTCTCCACGGCGACTTGTTTCTGCTCGTCCGGCGGGACCCACATGAGGCGCCAGTCAAGGAAGTGTGCGTCGTCTACGGAGGCATCGACCCCATCCCAGACGGCTATGTCTGTGTAGACACGACCGTATCGGGGGCGACTGCCAACCTCAACACGACATCCACCACCGACGTGAGTATCTTCATCTGCTTCAAGCGGGACTCGCTGCCGACGACACTGGGCGTGACGGACGTTGTCGTCGTGACCTCCAATGTCCCCGTCGGCTACACCAAGCTCCAGCATACCCCCCTTGGCATGGACGCATCGTTAGTGCAAGGCCAGTCCATCTACATCGCGATCAAGCGAGTGGAAGCCGACGCGGCGGCGCTGACGTCCGTGGTCGTAGAGCACGCTCTCAACGGCCAGTACGACACGTCACTGTGGGGCCGCTTGCAGTTGACCGTGCTGGAGAGCGTCCAGTCGAGTGAGTTGATGGGCTCGTTTAGCGTCACATCGTCTTTGTCGTCGTCGTCGTCGCCGCCGGGCATCTTGCGCGGGATTGCGTACCCCAAATCGACCAACAACAAGAATACGATCAAGTGCGTGGGGCTGTGGGAACCGGCGGGCGGACAGACGCTGGCGTCGTACAATGCATCGATCGGAGTGTCGAGTGGCGTGGGGCCGTTCGAGTTTGAGTTTGCCTTGCAAGACGACAAGAACATTTGCATTCCAGTGGCCGACGGATGGTGGAGCCGCGGCGGCAATGGCGATGGCGGCGGTCCGTGGCGACTGGTGCAAGACTGCTACGTCCAGCTGGCGTACAAGAAGGATTATGGCAGCGAGTGGGCCCACGGGCACGTGACTTCGTCCGAGCGCGTGTCCAGGCACTCGGTCGCGTCCATGCTGCATCGGTTCGGGTCGGTCAAGACGCTCGGCGGCGACTTCACATGCAGCGGGTGCCACCGGCGCACAGAGTCGCGTGTGCACTCTGTGGTTGTGACGCCCCCCGCGCACTTGATTTTGACGTTCAAGCGCATGTACTACGACTGGAAGGCCCAGAAAACATGCAAAAGTCTGCATGATGTGTCGTTCCCGGCGGTGCTGACGCTGCCGGCGCTCAGTCCGGCGGACGCGGCGACGTTGGCAGTCGACGACGACACAACGCCAGAGGGGCGGCGGACGTACGGTCTGTACGGCGTGCTCGTGCACAGCGGCCTCTCTGCCAACTCGGGGCACTACTACAGCTTTGGGCGGTCGAGTGCGTCCAACCAGCTGCACTTGGAGGACGACCCTACCGCCCCGTGGATCCAGTTCAATGACTCGCATGTGCGACCGACCACATGGAACGATTTGCACGCGACCATCGAAAGCTCCGTATCCGACTCAGTCTACTTGCTCTTTTACAAGCGACTGGAGCATGTTGTGATGCTGCATGATGAGTACCATCATCTGTCGGCGTCATCGCATGAAGACAAGGAAGAAGATAAACTGGACGAAGAAGCCATGCTGCTTGCTAAAGCGATGGCCTTGTCCATGTCGACCCAAGACACGAGTCCTAGTAGTATGACTAGTAGTACTAGTAGTCCCCCCCACGCCCCGTATGCCCCGCAAACCATGGCCCTGTTGGACGAGGTACTACTAGTAGTACTAGTACTGCCTCTCGATGATCGAGGGGAGAATTGCCTTTCTATTTGTGGGGGGTGGTTTTGATGTTGTTATGCTTGTTAGGTTGAGCGGGAGCATGCGACGTTTTTGCTCGACACGGCGACTCGTCGACGAGGTCCTGTGACACTGTCAGACTGGCACTTGTGGCTGCAATCCCATCATCGCATCGACGATCCGTTGTGGGCCAAGCTGAGTCCCCTCTTGCAAAAGGCATGAGCCTAACGTTATCGCAGATCCAAATAATATCATCTCCAGTACATTAATACAAGACGACAACTTTCTTGAAGTAGTAAGTACATAGGAATACGCGTCGAGTTTGGCTACCGCATAATGCAAAGTGCACATTTCAAAGGTTGTCAACATGTGAACAATAAGCAAAACCGTGTAACGTTGGATATCGCTGGTGCTGCCACGTCATCCTGACCGTATCGACGGTTTCACTTTCAAGCGTCGTTTGGCCTTGTGGGTGGAATCGACAGCTCCGACTGTTTGAATGAGTGACGCCGCCACCCCTTCCGCCACTACTGCCAGTAGCCCCGCCATCACGACCACCAGTAGTACATCGTCGGTGCCTTTCTCCGATGGACTTGGCCGCATCGACCGCACCGCAGACAACTCTGGCTTTGCATTCACCGCCATCGACCTCGTCGTGCGTTGTCCTTGCAATATTCTAATGAGGAGGGCGTGTTCACACTGTATCTCAGGACAAGTCCCTCGACTCCCTCGAACCCATTCGGTCGTTTCCCCACGTCATGTTTGTAAACGTGTCCAAGAACAGCCTCACGGACGTGTCGGACGCGCTCGCGGCGCTCGAGTTTCTCGTCAGTGTCAACCTCTCGGAGAACCAGCTCACGACCGTCCCCAAGTTCGCCCACGCGTTTCTAAAGGTGGCATTCCTTGTTGGGTGTTGCTTCGTTGTACATAAGATGGGAAGAAGGATGCAGGGGATGACGACGCCGCCTACTCATCACTCCCCCCCGACATGTCACTAGGACGTCGACTTGTCCAAGAACCAGCTCACGAGTCTCCAGGACGCCGAAGGCAAGAGCATCGTCGCACTCAAACTGAACGGTAGTCCTCCTCTCTTTGCCCATGCGTCATGGTAACGCGCGCGTGTACTCGTAGGCAACCAACTGACGTCCATCGATGGCCTCGCCAACTTGACGGCGCTCAAGTCGGTGGAACTGGCGCGCAACCACATTGACGCCATCTCGCTGGCAACTGACATGCCCAATGTTGACCATGTCGTGCTCGTACGTCCTAGTTCGCGACTGTTTGCATCTCCTTGGACAGCTCTTATCTTCTATTATTTTTATGTTATCTCCATAAGGACCGAAAAATTCTATAATACCTTTATCTATCAATTTAAAAATATATATATTACTAACCATTCTCTACTATTTATAATATTTTGATTTTGACTAGTGGTTTGACTCGTATTATTTATAATTGTTACTACTTGGATTTCTAGTGGACTTTTTTATTGTAATTGGGCTTTTTATTTTGATACTTTAACTTTTGTTGTATCCTCAGATTTGGATATATCTCACTCATGCTCTCGGATTAGAGCGAAAACAAGCTCACGACCCTCGCCGGCCTTGAAGCCTTCCCCAACCTGGCGTCCCTCAGCATCGACCTCAACCAAGTAAGTATACATCATACGTAGTATTTGTATATACATGTAATAATGCCTCGTCTAGCTCGCCACTTTCGACGTCCTGGGTCCCCTGTCGCAGTTCCAATTCCTCACCGACATTGACCTCACTGGTGGATCTCTTTTGTGTCGTTTCCATGTGCTTACTTCGTTTTGGTCGTTACAGGCAACTCTGTCACAGAACTCGACTCGTACCGGTTGGATCTGCTGCTTCTCCTGCCTCGGATAAAAAAGCTCGACGGGATCCCTGTCACAGACGACGAGCGCGTGAAGGCCATCGCGCTCAAGCAGCAGCGCGACGCCGCCGCCAAAGAGGCCGCTGATCTCTAACTGCCTTGTCCTCTCCAGCCCCGATCCAGACCAATCATAACTACTACTAGTACATTCCAACTACTAGTCGGCTATCACTCTGTGTACATACTAGTAGATGGTTGATTAAACAACGACTTCATGTGTTTACTGGTCCTGGTTTTCTTTGGGATTCAACCGGATCATGTCGTCGATGCGAAGAATCGTAATCGCTGCCTCCGTGGCGAACCGAAGGCTCTTGATCTTGCTGATCGCAGGCTCCACGACGCCCGCCACGAGGTTGTTGCGCACTTTGCCCTGCAGCAGATCCAGCCCCGAGAACCGCAGGTCCGTCTGCGCCGCGTCCGTCTGGCTCGTGTTGTGGTGCGCCCGCAGCCGTGCCACGAGCTCCGACGCGTCCTTGGCGGCGTTCACCGCCAGTGTCTTGGGGATCACCAGCAGCGCGTCCGCAAACTCGGCAATCGCGAGCTGTTCCCGCGACCCCAATGTTGTCGCATACGTTTCCAAGTAGATGGATAGCGCCGCTTCGACCGCGCCGCCGCCGGCGACCAGCTGGTTGGACTCGAGCAGGCGCTTGACTACCATGAGCGAGTCGTGCAGCGATCGGTCCATCTCGTCCAGAAGCATCTCGTTGGCCCCGCGCAGCACGACGGTGGTCGCTTGGCGGTTGGCGCACCCCTTGATGTAGATGAGCTCGCCGTCGCCGACGCGCTCCTCGCTCACTTCGGCCGCCGTCCCGAGCGCCGCCGCGTCGAACGTCTCGCCGCCCTCCATGTCGGCCAGCGTCAGCACCACCTGGCCGCCCGTGGCTTTGGCGATGCGGCGCAGGTCCTCCTTCTTGCAGCGACGGACGCCCATGCACCCTGCCTCAACAAAGTACTTCATGCACAGATCGTCGATGCCCTTGGTCGTCAAGATCACGTTCGCGCCAGCATCGAGGATCTTTTGGATGCGCTCCTTGGTGATGTCGATCTCGCGCTGGCGGATCTGGTCCAGCTCCTTGGGGTCGTTCACCACCATCTGCACCCCCATCTGCATCTTGTGGCGCTGAAGGTCAAAGTCGAGCAGCGCGATCTTTGCGGGTCGGACGGACGACGGCATGGCCTGCGACGCCCGCGTGCAGTTGAGCGCGAAACCGTCGACGAGCTGCGACTCGAGCGCACTCTTGCCGTGCGCCTTGAGCACGTTGATCGCGCTCACGGGATACTTGGTGATCGTCTTGCCCTTGGCGCCGTCCTCTGTCGTCTTGACCGACGTGACCGCGTCCACGACGAGGTTGGCGAAGAAGTCGCTTTCGGGACCGATGATCTTGGAGCTCATGGAGGTCTTGGCGGCGTTCACGAGCGACGCGCGCCCAAGCGAGTCCACTGGCACGCTCAAGTGCTCCTTGATGTACTTGACGGCTTCGCGCATCGCCAAACGGTACCCAGAGATGATGGACGTCGGGTGGACCTTGTTCTGCACCAACTCGTTTGCGCGCTTGAGCAACTCGGCGGCGATGATCACCACCGACGTGGTGCCGTCGCCCACTTCTTGGTCTTGCAACCCCGCCAAATCCACGAGCACCTTTCCGGCAGGATGTTCCACTTCCAGCAGCTTCAAGATCGTAGCGCCATCGTTCGTAATGGTCACATCACCAATGTCGTCCACCTAAGAGTGATCATTGAGGGGGAATTCACCGCACGTCCACACAACCAAGGACGCATGCAGGATGCATGAGACCGTACCAACATCTTGTCCAGACCCACAGGGCCAAGGGAAGACTTGACGATGTTCGCGATGGCGAGCGCCGCCGTCACATTCTGTTCCCGGACGTCCTTGCCGGACGTTCGCTTTCCATCTACCACCAGATCCATGGCAGCCGCAGTCTCAAATATAATGCCACCCTTTAAATTTTAATCCGTCCATACACCAAGTAAGGGTATACTCAACTCCAGTCACTTTCGTTTCAACAAAAAACTCTGAAAACAGATAATCATTGGATTGCTTCCACAAAATGGGATTCTAGTTAGTTGTACTTTATTCGTGTGAAAATAGTCTAAATTTCGGAGTTTTTACACAATAACGTTGCGTTCGGAGTAATATTAACGTAAACGGCCAATTATTGCCCTCATTTCGACCCCTTACAGTAGCGTTTTGGCCATATCTCGTGACGAAATGAAAATTGGAAAAATATGAAATTATACAGTAAAGAATGCTCTACCATGAACTCGAATTGATCGGAATTTGGAGTATTTAGTAGCTCCAACAAACTAACTCAAAAGTTTTGAAATTCACAGTCGTTTGCCCTTTTTACATTTGATTTCAGTATTCAATTTAGAGTTGGGAAACAGTTGGACATGCATTTTTAAAGCTAATTATGCTTAAGTATCTCTTGTTCTTTGTATGTATTTAAATTAGAGGGCAGGGGTAATAATTGGCCGTTTACGGTTGTTTGCCAAAATTTCTGCATGTTTGCCAACTATTAATAATTCGATCTTTGTCAAGATGACGTGACGATCTTTGTCAAGATGGTCACGTCAAAGCCTACTACAGTAAGAACGAGTCGTCCGTCGGCGACAATCCACATGGAAATGATAAGCGGCATAGCGCTGTATGACATCGATGATGCCAAGACGGGGGCTCAACTTCCACCAAACGTTTGTAAGCACCTCCACGACCTTCAATTCATCTAAGCTTACCATAGCAGCCTGGTACGACAACATCAGTACCCTTCCCATCCAACACATCAAATGGTACTGAAAGCGCAGTAACGACGTCCCCGTGGGCTACTGTATCACGACCTCATCCTTAATCCAGTTCCACCAACTGCTTGAAAACTGGGTTACAGTTTGTAGTCGGACGTCCAGGTGGGCTCGCCCATTGTGTTCGAGGCTCATTTCGAGTAGTACTGTACATGGTAACAGTACCTCCGGCGTCTCCAAGCTCTATTTGGTCGAACCAACCTACGGCGATGATGACCAGCTCATCTCCAGTCGCATGCTGGCGCAATCACAGAGCCAAACCGACGGTGGCGGCGTTCTGTCCGTGACCCCAATATTAACAGCAAACGTGAATTGCTTTGATGGCATCCAAGCGACTGGGCCCACTTCCAACGGCCAAGACAGTAACACATATACTACTTAGAAGTGTGATGTCCAAGTGCACACGTGGAGGAGCTCCAGATAAAAGGGAAACGACATGCCCACCGAAGAGTTGGTTGAGGTTTGCCGCGTGATCCCGACGCTGCCGACACTCCACTGGTTGGAACTTGACATGGCGGACCTGAGCGACATGAACGCGCTTCCCCACTGCAAAATAAATCAAGTGCAGAAACTCTTTGGGCTTGAGGGATTTATCTGCGACACGGGGGTCGTCGCGCTCTGTCACACACGACGCTCACGGCGCTGACTCTGCGCATGACAACAAGATCACTGCGTCTGGCATTCAAACGCTGATCTTGTATTCACGGCCCACAGTTGAAGGCGGACAGTCGGGAGAATCGCAGGTTGGCTCCTTGTATGGCATCCTCGAGAGCTGAACCAATCAATTAGCAATAATCTCCATAGGTTTTCACATGTAACGTTAGCTCGTATGTTGGCAGTAATTTCACTAGCTTTGTACAATAACGGTTACGATCACAATCACACGTAAGTACAAAGTGGCGGTGCATGCTCATATTAACAGGCCCTGTACTGTAAACAATTCCATTGATTGTTTAATATTTGATCTACTTGGATTAATTATTTTTTTAATAGAAGTTGTGATTTAGTTTTGCTTTTAGGTATTTTTATATTATTTAATAATTTAAAAACAGTAGAAGTTTTTAGTTCTTTTGCTACTAGGGGTATAATGCACTGCTAAAAACATACCACATATATAAATAATTTAAATTTTCATCTTTTAATTAAGATTAATAATAATAATATTTTAGAATCTTCTAAAATATTTATTATTAATTTAGAAATAAAAGGACACAAGATTCCAGACAACTATTTGATGCAATTGGCCCCCCATATCGGCCCTTTTTCATACCTTGGTACAGTATCGGACTTGGCGTGTGTTGGAAAGTTCTTTGCTACTAGGGGTATAATGCAATGCTAAAAACATACCACATATATAAATAATTTAAATTTTGATCTTTTAATTAAAATTAATAATAACAATATTTTAGAATCTTCTAAAATATTTATTATCAGACAACTATTTGATGCATTTGGCCCCATATCGGCCCTTTTTCATACCTTGGTATCGGACTTGGCGTGTGTTGGAAAGCCGTACTCCTCTAGCCCCACGGAAATATCTTGCAGCAGCGTCATCATGCCCCCTCCATAACATTGCGCGAGGACCCACTTGAAGCATACATTGATCGGTATGTATGGCCAGTATACTCTGGTAGGTAGCTGCTCGTTGGCGGAGGCTGCGACGGTGGGTATATATGTACTCATAGTATTGGGCTGTAACAGGACGTTGCTTTCGATGGGTCGAGCGCAAAGCTACGAGGCTGTCTGTAGATGGCCCCTCTATATATCCATCCAACGTGACCAACGATTGGAGTGAGTCGTGAAAGTTGGGGCTCGTAGTAGTCTGACGATTACTAGTAGTAGGAGCGAACACTGGTTACTACGTAGTAGTACTGTACTTGTATATATAACGTGGATGCTCGACAGTGTCGTTAGGTTTGGTTTGATTTGGGGCGTTAAATATGGCTGGGGATGACATGGAAAAAGTGGATGGTGGACAGTTGGCTGGACGGCGACGCTTGGAGCTTCACCCCCACGACGGTGCTGCAGTCGGAGCACTCGACAGCCACATACACTTCGCCTCCATGTGACGACGACGGAGCATCCGATAGTTTCTTGTGGCTGTCGTACACGAACGTGCGGTCCGCGTTGATGCGGCAGTTGACGGCCTTGGATGCGCGGTACTGGGTGTCGTACTTTTCATGCCGTTGGCTTGCGTAAGACACGGTCATGAAACAGCATGGACATGCGAGCGCCGCGTTGGCATCCGGGTCGATGTCGCCGCCTAGAATGTGCATGTATCGTCCGTCGTCAATGAACAATGCATCGGAGTGAATAGGATACGTACGAAGGTTCTTGCTCACATATGCATCATCGTCATCGTCCATGGAGTCTCCATACAACTCGACCTCTCCTTCTTCTCCTTCTTCTTCAGGCACTGAATTAGCGTTGACAGTCGGTGTTCCTGCAGGACAAAGGCCATCGTCCAGGTGTTCGTCATCTTGAATGTCCTCGTCGGTCACGTCCTCTGGAGACTGGGACTGGAGAAAGTACCGGTGGCCTCCCATAAACGTCGCTCCTCCCATGTCATGGTCATGCTCTCCCTTGGAGATGTCTACTGCATCCAGCGCCAGCAGCATCCGCGCCATCTTCGCTTCGAACGGCGTCGGCATGGTGATTTGTCAATTCCATTTATTGGAGGCATCCGGTTAACCTGTGCATGTGTCCACTTATCCGGATGCATCTTGAACTCGTCAAAAATGCTGCGGCAGTTCCAGGCCGCGTACGATGCAGGAGTGGAGGACGAGGAGTCATTGGGGGAGCATGTGGCGATGTATCTGCAGAGCTCCGCATTAGTCGTACCGGCAGAAGACCTCACGTGGGTATGGGAGCTGCTCGTAGCGTCGAGGCAGTCGTCGTCGTCGTCGGAGACTACTGCCAGCGACACATCTGACCCATTGCTCATGGACACACCTGTTCGCCGACTGAGCTCTGCCGTGCGCGCGATGCTGCAACCGCTTCCATTGTCATCCGTCCACGCGAACATGCAGCACTTTCACGTACACATAGTCTATCCTATGGCAGTGCCAACCACATTCATTACCTTCCTAGGGCCTGCCGTCCGTCTGCAACGTCCTTCTCAGCGTGTGCTTCTCGGCCCACACCGCTCACAAAGTTCTAAGTGTCCTACTTGAGACCCTTCTGCCAGATTACCACGTCGCGTCCATGAGTGGGTTCCGCGTCGACTGGAAGATCGTCGACCTCACCCTTGCTCGGCTCGACCCGGCCCTCAGTCGGCACCTTGCAGGTTGGTCGTAGTACCTAGTACTTACTACTCACCTACCAAAGTACTCATGTTTCATCACATTTCATCAATGGGTAGAACACAACGTGTCCATTGAAGTGCTTTGTTCGCAGGTACAACCTAGTCATTCGATTTCTTGCTATATCCATCATGTCCCACATCTCAACAACATGCATGATGCAGTGGTTCTTTTCCATGTTTGCCGATGCCTTTCCGTCAGTCGTGACAACCCAACTTTACACGTGGGTCCTCGCGACGTCCTCCAAAGTGCCGCCGTCGGCGCCATCCAACTGGCTCGTGGCCACCGCCCTCGCCCTTCTCCTCTTTGTCGGCGACGTGCTGCATGGAGCTGCCGACGCCACAACCGTGATGACGCTGCTGCATCACTTCAGTCATGTCGTGCTCGCGACAGACGAAGACATCCGGCGCATCTTTCAGTCGTGGATACATGCGTTCCACCTCCATTTTCACGATGCATTGCATGCATGTCGAGTGGACATCTCGCTGGAGGAAGAGGCCCTGCCCAGACGCATCTTTGTCGGATGGCGACACCCTCCGACGTCTCCTTCGACCCCTTCGTCCGTGCCACCTGAACACGCACGGCAAGAACAATGGCAGCGCGTTCTGCTTGAACGCGGGGCGGTAGTAGGTACTACTAGGACTGCTAGTACTACTAGTGGTACTACGGTCGTGGGGACCGAGGTGGAGGCTGCTGTCGATGCCGACATCCCACGAACGTCGCAAGCGCCACATGCCGCGCAATGGCCAGCCTTGCGCCATGTTCTCGTTGCATTTGCATGTCGACATCCCCACATTGGCTACTGCCAAGTAAGTCGTACTGGCATGTCTTTCAAGCACCTGCTGCAGCTTGGCCGGAGTGATTCACTTCGTGGCGGGTGTTTGTATATGTGTAGGGCATGAATGAGTTGGCGGCGGTGCTGTTGCGGGAAGTTGGTGACGACGTGGCGGTAGCGTTGGAAGCGCTGGCGTACTTGGTGGATGAAGTGTTTCCGCACTATCACAGTCCGTCTCTCCTGGGGCTGCATGTCGATTGCGCTGTCATCGAGACGCTGGTCCATCAGAACGACCCGCATCTCGTCCATCACATGCAGTCGCTTGGGCTCAACATGGAAATTCTGTGCACGAATGTACGTCCTTTATTATACATACATTCCAGGATCAGAATGTTGATCGCTTGGATGGTTTCACGTGTAGTGGCTTATGGCGTGCTTTATCACCACGGCGCCACATTCGTTCCATATGAGTCTGCTCGACATGCTGTTCGCCGCCGAGTCCGCCGACGCCGCCTCGGCCGTCGTGGTCATGACGTCCGTCGCCATCTTCCTCCATCTCTCCTCCTCCCTCATCCATCAACATGACACGGGTGGCGTCCTCCATGTTATCAAGCGCTTCCTGGCCTCGCAATCATCGTCTCCACCTGAATTTCTATCGGTGGTTCGAACGCTCCTGCGGCAACTGCCCTTGCATGAACTGCGCATGATGCGGGAAGTGCACGGCGCCGCCGTCCATGACAAGCAGGCGGCGTTTGAAGCCAAGAAAGCTGCCATCAAAGCCATGTCCACCGCTGGGACGCGGCTGTCATCTCCGCCGCCACCGCCAATATCATCCTCCTCGTCTTCGCGCTTCAAGCGCTTTCTCGGCGGACATGCATTGAAAAAGGCGCCGCCACTGCCGTCGCTGTTCAGCATGAGGCGACAGGACGAAGGAGAAAAAAGTCGCTGGGGGGACGAAGTATACGAAGACGAGGATGCTGACAGGGAATGGGACTTGTTGCAAAATCAACTGCAGCACACGAATAACCTCTTGGAAGATGACGCGATCGATGCTGTGGAATGCGCGCACATCAAGGAACGGATCATCCACACATGGTCGGCCGCGAGGCATACCCCCGCGCATGCCCAAACGCGCGTGGACCTGTTGAAAGCGGCGTTGTTTGTGTCCCCACAGCAATCGCAACCTTTGCTGTCCAGAAGCAAGACTGCATCCGCGTTGGTGTCCCGACACACGGCACGGGCTCGCGCGAGTCTGCAAGCGCTTGGAGTCAAGTGGCGCTCGCGGTCTCCATCCAAGCCAAGCGACATCAGTATCATCAGCGACAGCGGGAGGAAGAAGACACCGCTCAGCCCCACGGCCCTGCAGCTGAGCGAGATCGCGGACTCGTACTACGGAGGCGACCTCACCCATGACCAGCGCATGCGACGGAAGGCGGACTTGATCACCAAAAGTTTGTTTCCGGACGACGACAGGTATCCGGATAACGACGAGTCATAACAAAAGAAGGTGGTCGTTACTTGTGAATAGAAGATTATAAATAGACAAACTAACGAAAACACGTGGTCGCCATTTGTGATCATAATATTAGAAAGGCCAAAAAGTAACTGCCCATTTGCATCACGTTTGAAAATGCGCGCCATGGCGACGACGACGGCACTTCTGCTCGTGCTGACGACGCCAACCACGGCCCTGGTCGTCACTCGGTATGCTCATGCATTCCACAATGTTCTTCCTCATATACACGTAATCCCATGCATGTGTCTGAGGCCAACCCCTTCGTAGACCTGTCACCTACGATATCCCTCACATGTATGAGCAGTTGGACCCTTCCATGGCAATAACATGCGTTGGACGATGACTCATGTGTGGATGTAGCGCTGCAGATTTCAGTGCACGAACAGACCTCCCCGAGATACCCCTTGTGATGGGTATATATATATTCATTGTGGTGTGTTCCACAGGATTGATGATATGATTAGCGATCCCTGCCGACGGATGCAGCCCAATTGTCAACGATGTGGCGCACAAAGTGGTGCTGGTGCTGCGAGGCCACTGTCGCTTTGTGACCAAAGCGCGTGTGGTGCATCAGGCGAACGCGAGCGGGATGATCGTCATGGACGACATCCATCGAGGCGACAACCCATTCGACGACGGGAGGTGGGAAGTTCGCATGTCCAGCGAAGACAACGTCAACCAAGAGCATGTCAAGCACCATCACGACATGCATCTGCTGCCGTCTGTGTTTATCTCGCACACGTCCGGCCGACGCCTCCAGCGTCATCTTGATCGCTTCACCAGTTCCAAATCCGTCCTTTCTACCCCCCTCCGTCCACTACTCACCTCCCACGACAACGACAACCATCATGAGGTGCTCGTGGCACTGAACGCGACGGCGGAGGGTACGAGCACAGTCCATCGAGTGATGTACGTCGTGACGACTTGATTCCAGGGTCGCAACACATCGACCAAGGCGTGGACTGGTTGGATGTGGGCCATCTTCCCGTGCTGTCGTCGCTTTCAGACCTCGTCTGCGCCATGTTGCCGTACATGGGGTACGCCTACGCGTCTTCGTTTTGCTTTATTCTCTTGAGGTACTCGTGGTCTTCTGCTTGTCATACCTTTCACGGCAAACTACCGCAGCACGTTCTACGCCCGGGCGGTGGAGACATCGGCTTGGTACATCAAGCAATATGGTGGGCTTTGTATGCATGTATCTGTTCGTGTTGGGGTTGCCGTTTGGGTGTCTGATGATACGCATGACGTTGGTAGCTCGGCGAAGCATTTGGACTCGCCTTTCCGTGGTGCCATACCGAGGCCCATTGCATCATGGAGCCGATACAACATGCTCCATCTGCCTGGATGATTTCGTCCTCGGTCATGTGGTCAAAGTACGTCCATAGATACAGTATGGTTGATGCTAGGCGTATTGGATTGATTGTGTGGGATGTAGGTGCTGCCGTGTCCCCATGTGTACCACCAGCACTGCATCGACCGATGGTTTGAGAAAGGAAGCAACGCGTGTCCCCTGTGCAAACGACTCGCGTTCTCATAACATTATGTTCAACTTAGATACAACATGGTACACTGCCTTGTCGACGACGTCTATGGAAGATGGACATGATACGGCGGGCTTGGTAGTTCTGTCCTTGTCGTGAAGCACCTTCATGGCCCCCGACGTGGACTTCATGTAAAGCTTGTTGGGGGAGCTCAGATTCATACCAGTAGCTGGAAAGTAGAGGCGGAGGTTGTCAAGTGCGAAGGGTTTCTCCAGATAAGGTGAATCATATCTGCGGCGATGGGGACGGTGAGCGGCGTCGAGAAGTCCCGGACGACGCATGTCATGAGAATGTCATGGCGTAGAGTATTATTGCAAGCAGTCTTGGTCATTGTCAATGGATGAGTACACCTCGAACATCCCAACGCACGGCTCGATCGTTCGAGCAGCGCTTCCAGTTCCCATCCTACAATGACAAACACACGAAGGCTTTCTAGCAAGGCGCCATGCTGTGTCGTTTGTCTACCGGTTGTACTACTAATCCTAGTGTCCCTACACACAAGTGGTGTTACTAGCAGGGAGCATCCAAGGACAACTCCCTTGGCGCGTTCCTCGACCCAGGACACCCCTTCCGCCGCCATGGCCATGCTGGTTCCGCCTCAGCTTTTCGCTGAACGAACTTGCGAAATGTTCTAACTTTGGATACGTGGCGCCCCGGGGCGCAAAAACAGTTCAAAACGTCGCTGGGTGACAAAAAGGAACTCGTCGGGCGGGATCTCCATCTTGGACGAACGATCGAGTGGAGCGATGCGACGGAACCGCGCGGGTCAAGGAGTGCGCTGCTGCTGGTGGGTAGTAGTAGCAGTGCTGGGGATGATGATGCTTCCTGCTGCATGTGCGTTGGTGGTCGAAAGGTACGATGGCGAGAGAGCAAGAGACTTGACAAAGCGACAGGACGGAACAAGAAAGGACGGCAACACTCATCTCTTTCTCTTCACGTAGGCCATGTTGCAGCGTGATGGATCACATGTACGTGGATGCATCGTCCATCATAATGACGGCATCTCATGCTCGTTGTGCGGTAGTCCGGCACTGTTTGGAGCGAATGTGACATCCGAGGACTTTGTTGGTCGGGAAATCGTCAAGGGTACACATGCATCTTCCTCGCATATTTCCTTGTCCGATCTATCTGTCCATGGATACTGACATGCTCCATGACCAGTGGAACCATTTGACGCGTGCGTGGGGGACATCCAGAACGACCTTCGTGGGAAAATGGCACTCATCGTCCGCGGCGACTGCAACTTTGCGTGGAAGGTGCTGCAAGCCCAAAGGGCCCATGCCGTTGCCGTCGTGGTGATGGACTTACAACCGCGATCTCCCCACGAGTACGCCATGTCCTACTCTCTCTCCTTCGTAGCATGGCCTCATGCAGTTGTTCATACGTAGACTATGGGAAGTGCAGATGGTCGGTGACGGCAACGCATCCGACATCCACATCCCATCCGTATATGTCTCGCATGAGTCGGGGAATACGATCCTCCAAGGCCTCGAACAAAACCAATCGGTCCTTGTGACCCTCAACGCGACCGGCCATCGTACGTCGTCGTCCATTGCTCATGAATCCGACAAAGGTCTTGGTATTAGGCACGTCGTTGCAGCGACGGCATCACACGGTGCTCGAAGGCGTCGTGCTGTATGTGCTGTCGACGTCTGTGATGTTTCTTGTCCTGAGGTTCGCACCATCATGTGCTCACATGTTCAACCCAAAGCAATGGCATCATCCACTTGCCTGATCCGTGTGTGTAGTGGCGCATGTCTTGCGTTCTCCAACGCCGCCTCTTGGTACCAACGCACAGGTACCTACGTACCCACTCATACTGTATCTATTTGCACCTACCTATTCAGGCCACACATACATAGATATCCATTCATATGTACTACTTTAACTAACATTACTGTGATTGCCGTCAGAGCGCACGCGAGCTGCCAAGCGACTGCCTGTGGTGGCCTATGAAGTACGTACCTATCTGCATCAGCACGCCCTCTTTCTTATTGCGTCCATTTGGAGTGATCTTGTGGATATATATACTAGATGAAGGGCGACGATGACGACAGCATGTGTGCGATTTGCCTGGAACCGTTCGAACGTCACGTCCTAGTCAAGGTACTAATCCTACCTACTAGGATATGCTCGTGGCGTTGTGTTATTACTGGTGGTTGGTTGTTGATAGTATTACTAGTAGTAACCACTAGCATGTGGCATGACGGTGTTTGGCGGTGTAGATGCTGCCCTGTCGTCACGAATTCCACCACCCGTGCATCGATCCGTGGCTGGAGAAGCAGTCGAGTCAATGTCCTCTTTGCAAGCAAGACGCGCTTTCCTTAGGTATGTATTTCCAAATGGCCATTGCCCCGAAACCAAATGGATCGTACAACTTTGGTAGGTGGGTCGTACAAACTCCCATCGCCACTCCTACAAGACGTCCTCCCATCCCTGTTTTCGCTGCACAACAGAACGCACCTCAACTTTCCGTCTGCGTCGTCGCCTTTCCAAGTAAGTACATATGCACGCACCCCTACTACATATCTCGTCCACTTCATAATTTTTGACGGATATCTTAGATGCTCATGTACGCGTGCATGGTGCTACCCATTGTGATGCTGGCCATTGTGCTTGGTATTCTATTTTAACACGTCCCCCACCTTGCTTCTTCGTCGTGTAGTAATTATATATATTATATACATCCCAGCATCCGTCAACATGTCTTGCCATCCTTGATTGTCGAGACATGAAGCGCTGTTTGTTTCCACCGATTCCACGCTGACGCCACCAACTCATGCGACGATGTCGGCACTTGGAAGATGCGATGGAGCGCCGCAAACAACTTCAGGCCGGTGTCGTACGGGTTTTGGTACGCGGGCGGCGGCGGCACCCCCCGCAGAAACGCATCGTGGCTTGCCGCATCCAGCAACATACTCAAACACAGCGACGACGACATCCGTCGCATGCGTTCGCCGCCTCTTCCTTCTTCTTCATCATCTCCAGCTTGCCGATCTTCGTCTTCGAGGGCGGCGTGGACAGTCGCGTGCCTAAGCATTTGTGAAAAATTAGATGGGGAAATGGGCTCCTTCGACTGTTTATTATTACCACCACACAATCACCCCCAGTGTCGCACAAGCCAGCACTGAGACAGCGATCCAATGTTCCCGTCGTCCAAGCTGGGACAAGATGAGCGCCATGGCAATCTAGACGAAACGATCAATATCCTGTCAAATACTATATAATAGGGTATATCACAAAACATCCCAGCACCACGAGTCAGAAACAAAATATATAGTTTAAAATAGTTAAAAATACTTGTTACGACGTATAGTATATATCCCATACAAATAGTAACGAATGAACAATATATGATCATGGAAAAACTATTGCCTTTCACACAAAACAGACAAAAAAGCATCCTATTTGTACCCAAAAATAGTCTACTGTTAATACTATTATTATTTCCAGCAATGATTCCTTATAAAGACATCAAACATACTAAATATAATCTAATGAATCAACCTGCCAAATCGAATTTTTATGTGCATTGTCAAAACTAATAATTCAAAAATACCTGAAAGAGCAAGACCGAGGCCAAGACAAGCGACAGCACCGAGCGCGTGACGTGGCCGCGTCCTGGGGCTTTGGGGTGGACGAACAGCACATTGTACTTGGTCGAGAGCAGCCGCGTGTAAAAGTACGTGGCGCCGCACGGGACCAGCGCCGGCGACAGCGTCGTCCCGAGCAGCGTGACCAAAAATGCACTAGATGTCACTAGTCAATTCACACCAACTACTATCACACACTAGTATTACTAGTACTATTACACTAGAACAGGACAAACTAGCCCATCTGTAGTTATTAATACTACCACAGCACGAACTATTACTACTTTATATCACACCAACTACAACGCAACTAGTACTGTTTCTACATCTACTACTAACTAGTACATCACACCATTTGAACTAGTATTATACTTTCACAAACTACTAGTAGTAGTACTATTTCACGTACCTCAAGTAGAGTGCGTACTCCACGCCAAAGTAAAACGGAGCCGGGCGACACGCCTCGACGATCTCGGACGATGTGACCGCTCGTGCGCGCAGCCTAATATATCAATTGAAATATATATTATATATATATCAACATTACCATGGCTGGTAGATCACACGTTCTGCCGTGCGTAAGATTTGCACCACCGTGCCAACGCAGATTCTAACGACGCGTTAGTAGTCTCCCTAGTAGTAGTACTAGTAGTAGGGAACGTACAACTGGGACAGGTACAAGATGAAAAAGTTGCTGCACACGTTGAAGAGGAAGCTGTTGACGTACGACGCCTGCGTCGACTGCTGAAAGTCCAGCGGGTTCACTTTCGACTGCCGACTCGTGGCATACACGGCCGTGACTCCAATCGACGGAAACAAAATCGAGCTCTATTTATTATTATTACTATCCCAAATATCAAAGATAAATATTAATTCAAATCAGCCGACTTTTTAATCGCAGTTGATTGCCTCATGATGAGTCGCCCAAATGGATTAAGAAAATATATATTCGTTGGATATGCATTCGGTACGTACGATTCAAAGAATGACATGGGTTTGCATATTCAACTTACCAGATAATTCTTCATAACTACTATCCCAAATATCAAATATATATATATATATCCTACGTACTGTAGTACATGTAGCCATTCAAATCATTTAATTTTCTAGTCACGTTCATAACGAGCCCACATATCAAAAATACTAACTAAATATATATGTATTCCGTAGCAATTTCAAGAAATTAATTATCTCAAATCCATCGTACCAGTACAAGGTAGATGTATGCTTTGATCAAGAGACTGCGCATGCGTTTGGTTTCAGTGATCCATGGCTCGAAAATCGACAAGTAAAACAGCACCACCAGCAGCAGTGCATTCACGGTCACCTATTTCTTGCTCGTTAGACAAATATATTAAAAAAATATTTTACCAAGAGCAACGTGGGCAGATACGACCGGAGAAACCCCGTCACGATCGAAGTGTCTTCAAGCAACTTGGTGTACAACGGACTCGACGGGTCCAGATTCACGTACAGGAGGACCGACGCCGGCGTCGAAAACAGCAGCAAGATGGTCATGGTCAGGCCTTGGTAAAACACCAGCACCAGCGTCCGCTTCAACGACCGCGGTCGAGAAATCTACTACCTCGATATAAGAACTAGTACTAGTACTACTAGTTAGTAGTACAAGATTGGGCCAGCGAATGTCGTTGGGTTCAGGCGCGGGTTGCAGGATCAGCTGGGGCAAATACATGGACAACGCTATAATAAGGGTTCAATGCCACTAGCATTGAAAACGAGATTCACGTACGAGAAGAATGCAAAGACTCGACCAGCGACGGTGACGACGGATGACGAAAGCGGTGACGAAGGGGGTGACGACGCAGATGCTGTTGCACGCGGAAGAGGGATGCAGCGACGTGCGCTCTGAGTTTGGTTGCGGGGGATTGGGTGGCGACGGCATGCTCGAGAAACGCCTTCTTGGCAGCCGTCTGCATAAAGGTGGAATTAACGCTAATTTGCTCGTTTTTAATAAGCTCATGCGATAATTTACCGATCGAAACACGACAAACGCCGCGCCCGTGCCTTTTCGCGCCTTGAATTTGGTCAATAGTTCCTACCACGACATTATTCATACTATTCATTATCAATAAAAGCTACACAATATGCATATATTGTCGATTTGATATACAATTTGGGGAGGAGGGGGTGCTCAATCGAATCGACCAAACCGATCCACAATCGATCGGATTGGTTGAATTTCATTGAGAAATGGGTTTTGATTGGCTAATAATGTTGAGCTCATCTCAAGTAGCCAATCAAATCGATTTAAATTCCAACGAGAAACCACAACTCGAAATGTCACTCGAAATTTGCACAATACATATAAACACATATTTACATGGGGATACCGCTCCAATTCATGGTAAATGAACTGGAGCCGCCGTTGAATGCGTGGCGGCAGGACGTCGTTGTCGTCTTGGATCGAGACAAAGTCCCCAGGATTACTACTAGTACTACTACCGTGCTCGGCATCTCCCAACGGCACCTCCCCCTCGTCGTCATCTTTAGGAGGACGGCGGCGGCGGCGGCACGGCAGGCCGGCGGCGTAGTCGTAGCACAGATCTGTGGGGGACGGCATGCAGCTGGTTCCAGGACACCATCGCACAAACATCGGGATCGAAGCCGATCCGTAGATGGACATGAGACGCCGCGCTTCGTTGCGCAGCGCCATGCGCTGGCCCAGGATTTGATACACATGACTGAGGTCGTCCACCACTCGCACGGATTCCACGTCCTATGTATGGTCTGAGATACGGTTTGCCCATATTCGGCAATGAATTGGGGGAATTGTGGAGATCTATTTTTTTATAAATATTTTTTAATTCAATCACCGAGCGCTCGAGCAACGCCATATGATTGGATCAAAACAACCAACGTTGCGATATGATTGGCTAAAACGAATGCATAGTCACAAGGATATATTATACTATTCATATATAAATATAATACATTTCACAGGTCCGGCAACAAAGGTGTTGGGCGATTGTTATGCCGGGGAGGAGAAATAGTAAGCGCTCAACACCACACACACGCAATACTCGACTAAGTACTCTAAAATGGTACTTACGTGGGAGGAGGACGGGTACAGTTGCGAGAGGTGCTGGAAAAGGGTGCGGCTGGAGATATAAGGCGGCAACCCCGCTTGAATGAACACACTGCGCGGGCCAACGAGGGTCGGATCGTCCCGATGCAGTTTGGACAAGCGCTCGTGTTGGCTAATGCAGCATTATGATGACGATGAAAGAAGGAGGATCCAAATATTGCCAAGTCTGTTCGAAAGTGGAGTGGTGCTCAATCGAATCGCGCCGACCAAACCGATCCACAAGCAATCTGATTGGTTGAATTTCATTTAGAAGGTTTTGATTGGCTAATAATGTTGAGCTCATCTCAAGTAGCCAATGAAATCGATTGAAATTCCAACGAGAAACCACAACTCGAAATGTCACTCACAATATTGTCAAGTCGAAAGCAATCGATATATCGACCAATCAAAAACCACAACACGAATCAAGTGGCCAATCAAATCAACTCTTCGACCAATAGAACTTTACATTCGATCGATATATTTGGCAAAGAATCAGCACAAAAGTCAGCCAAATATTGAGTAAAAGGAAAATATGACGATGGAGGCTCGTACCGGTAGACAAACCAGAAGACGGCGGCCGACGAGAGGTAGCACATGCCGACGTGGCCCCAGAACCAATGGCTGCCCATGGGCACGTTGCTGATCGTGGCTTCTTGGTACGACTGGGTCACGGCACCGCCCGACACGTAGTTCTACATTCGTGGCCATTTAGAACAACGTCAGAGCAGGTCGTACATCGTACAATGGGCACGAGGATGACGGTGCTGAGGACCGAGAGACCGACAAAAACGTGGCCGGCATCCCTGAGAAAGTGCAGACACAGCGCCGTCTCCATGCCGCATCGGTCGACCACGAGTTTGTCGTCGATTGGCAAGCGCCAGAAGCGGAGAAAGCGGTCGCGAAGGGAAGCAGCATCAAGGGGATCCTGAGGGTCTTCTTCGGAGATGGAAGAGGAGGCGGCGGTGTCTTCGTCTGTGCGGAATGGAACCGGACGGAACAGACCTTCAACATGCGCGCCCCAAAACGGGATCGAGACGTGGGACGTGCGGCGCCAGGCAAAGTACCCGAGGCCGAGCACGAGCACGAATACGTTGAGACCTACTTGGTAGAACACGGACGGCCACTGGTTGTTGAGGATGAAAACGACAAACGCCCCGGACGACGAGCTCAACGCGTACATGGGTGACGACTCGTTGAAAGGAGACGGGGAACCCATTGACAGCAGCTCCCAGTCGACGTGGAACCGACCAGGCGACCGACCGACGATGGAGAAGTTCGCCATCGATGTGCCTGCTTGGAGAACCACGGGGTTGGGAGACACTTCGGGTACCGTCTTGTCGCCCACGAACCGCAACCCGATCAGCACGTCGGTCGGGACCGTTGCGTTCGACGTGATGCTACCGTGGATGCGGTCGTTCATCGCCCCGTACGAGCTGCCAGACGGGACGATGATCCCGATCGTGGTGGCGACGACGTCCACGGCCATGATGGCGAGCAGACTCATCCAGGAAGCGCACTTCCATCGCATGACGAGAGTTCAAGTGTGTCACAATATCAGCACAATTCGGAATTCCAAGAGTACTTAATTGAACACAATTCGTATGTGCACTTTCCGACAGAAACGGAACGCACGTTTGATACTTTATCGAAGGGTATTCTAAAATTAGAACATGTCATTGCCAAAGCTAAGAATCAATGCTGCCGCGACTCGAGATGCCGTCGCCGGCAAGGGCTAAGGGAGGAGGATTTGGCAAGGACCGTCATCGCCGCCATCGCACGACGCGGCTGGACTACCGCATGGAGCAGGCGGGGCTTCTCGCTAGCGAGGGCATCCCGAACCCTGAAGACGACAGCACGCATCACCACAGTTTGATTCCACGCGAGTTTTACGTGGTGGAGCGGAGCATCCTTCCGAAAGGCCCGTCGAACCAATATGCCTCGACCTTCAACGGCAACATGTGGGAGACGGTAGTATTTCCGTCCTTGGAACCCCACACGCGCGCAGAAGTGCTGCACTTGAAGGACGCGCTGGCAAAAATGGAAGCCAGCCTCAAGCAGCGTGCTTCTTCCCACAGCGACGACGATGATGAAGAGCTAACTGATCCAAGTGTAACGTACTCTGCCGCGTACTGCTCCATGGAATGGGAGATCTACTCGCTATGCTTCTCCGAGCTGATCCGTCAACTGACGTTTGTCTGTCGCGACCAAAGCACGTTACTCCGCACGATCCAAGGGCGACTCCATGATGTGTTTCAACGAGTGCTGGCATCCATGCGTGCCATGGAAGTGACCATCCAAGAACGTCACTCGGCGGCGGCGGCGTCCTCGTCGTCGACCCAACCGCAACAGCATCGTGAGTCCGTGGCAGTCAAATCCAACCCCACCGCCAACCTCTTGCCGGCCGAAGACAACGCCGCCATCGACCTGTAAGGCGCTCACGAATGTTGGCTGTACATTTTGAGATATATGATTGGGTAAATTTCACATGGATATTCAGTATTTTAAAGTTATGATTGGCTAACCCCCTTTAGACTGGTTTTAATTGGCTGAAATAGTATTGCATATTATCGCTGACATATTGTGGATGCAGGGATGACGACGAGTCCGACACGGAAGAGTTCATTTGCTCGTTTTGCTACGAAATGTGTCGCGACCCGAAGAAAGAGACGACGCGGCGGAGCACGTTCTTAGGCAACATGCATCTCAAGCGGCTGAGTGTGGACATCGGCAGCGATGCGAAGAAACTCAAGGCGGTGGCCAAGATTCAGGCGATATATCGAGGACACCGGTGTCGGAAGCAGCAGATGCACGCGACGAGGATCCTGCAGCGGAACACCGCCGCCACGCGCATCCAGCGCATGTTTCGAGGGTACATGGACTGCAAGAAAGCGTCCAATCGGCGACGGGTGCTGGCGGTGTGGAAGAAGCGGGCGCATCAACTGTCAGCGATCACCAACTTGCAGCGAAGTGCCCGGCGGTTCCTCAAGCGAAATCAGACGTTCCGAGAAACCAAGCTAGCGGATGTCGTCGGTCAGTTCAAGCTTGTGGACTCGGAAGTCGCGGAGAGGGTGCAGGAGAAAACGGCCGAAGTCGCGCGACTGATGGCGAATGTCCAGACGTACCACAGGCAAGTGCGCGGGATCGAATACTTGCTGCATGCCGACGAGATGGAGGGAAAACAAGCGGCGAGCAACGACACAGATGGCGAGGGAAAGGATGGAGCGAAGGACACGAATAATACATCAGCAGCGGCGGCAGAAGACAATGGCGCGACGAAGCACATGCACTTGGAGAGTTTGTGTGCCAGTGTGAGCATGGGGCTACGGTTGATCCACGAGCGAACGGCGAACCTTCGAGCGAGGGAAGCGAAGCTCCAAGAAGAGCTTGAAGAAGCAAGGCGGCAAATGGAGGACTTGGAGGCGCAGCAGGCTGCGCAAGCCGCCAAGCAGCCTTCGGACGATGACGACGATGCCGACGATTGGCATCTGCCCGGAGATGTCGATTCAAATCAACCGGATAACGACCAAGGGACTATCCGGACGGCCCGCGATTTGATCGATTCCATCAAATCCATTCGTGCGACGCGCCACCGCCGGGGAGGCGACGTGACCTCTGCATCAATCTACGAGGCAGAGATCCTTCATGGGGCGGGTTCAGGCACTATGCCCTCCACGAGATCACCGTCCACGGTGCTTTCTTTGCCCCCGTCAACAGCGGACTCCAACACCCATGCCACGGCCGCCCTGTTGAGTCGCATTCGAGTTGACGTCGCCGTCCAGCCGCGAATCCCTCGGCCTCTTCTGTGGCTCAAACAGCTCATGGGAGACATCTACGACACCCTCGGGTCCACGGAGGACGAGGTGCAACCAACGTTCCTCCACTACTGCACATGGCTCACGCCCGCCGAGTTCCTTCACGTCCGCGACACAGTGAGTTGTCCTACTGCCAACGTGTGTGACACCGTGTACCAGCACTTCCAGTGCCAGTTTGGCCTGCCTTCGCTCGTGGACCAAGCTATCAGCGACCTCGCCACGTCCGTGCAGTCCCATGCATCCACCGACGACGATGTGCTTCTGTTCCAGTGCTTCCTCAACGGTGCCCGACCCAAGCAGGACCTCCGCTTCTTCTGCCATCTCCGCACCATGTGTCCTCCTTCCATCGACTCTTCTCGCTTCCATCGCCATGTCCTGGACCTTCCCCATGCCCTCAAGGTCGCCCACACTCTCTTCCGCGTCGACGAGTCCGCCCATGCCGCCGCCGCCTACGCGTCCTTTGCATTGCAGCTCCAGCTTCGTGTCTTACGGCCACCGTCGTTTGCTCGTCGACACAACGTTCCTACGTCGTCGACTGCATTAACTCCAACAAAGTCTGGTCCAACGATCGTCCCCACGGTGCCGCCGCCGCCGCCGACTGTGCCGACGCTCGTGCTGTTCACCGACTTTTTTGACCTGCTGTGTGTGCATCATGCCGACGCAAGGCTGACCTGCTTGCGGCACCTGTGGGTGATGGATCGGTTTCAAGAGATGGATCGAGATGGCGACGGCGCCATCTCGTTGGACGAGTTCGTGCGGCACCTGGCGCCGCTGCCCCATGCGCCGACGTCGCGGGAACTCAAGCAGCTCTTCCAGCACGCCACCTCCACGACGGAAAAGTTGACACGCATGACCTTTGGGACGTTCGAGGAGACGATGCTGCGGCTCCTGCGGAATAAGCAGCTCCAAGCGAGTCCGGACGACGTTGGGCGGCATCCGGCGCTGCGCCGACAGGTTGCAGAGAGTCGGAAGCTGCTGCATACGATCGCGCGGCACTGGCACATGAAGAAAGACGTGGTGGATGCGACGGTGGACGCCATGTTCCATCGAACCGGGACGCAGAGAAACCTCGCCGCGTACCTTCTCGTCCTGCGTGGGGAACTCGAGGGGGTGCTCATGGGAAGTGTCGTGGGTGTGGAGAGCTGCTTGGAAGCATGGCACAAGTACGCCGCCATCGTGTGCGTCTTGCTCGCGCTCAAAGCCAAGAACGACGGGTTCGAACGAGTGACGGAAGCGCATGTTGTGGATCTCGAGCGCGCGTGGCATCTCCAGGACGACGTCGAAGCCAAAGTCTACCGCGGCACTACCACGACGACAGAGACGATACCGGGTAGTCTTACAGGGCAGGGAAGGAAGGGGTCGGTGGCGTCGTCCGTCGCATCCTTGAGTGAAGTCGTCCCACCGCCGAGTCTCGGGGGGACAGAGAAGGAGTCCATGGTGCAGGAAGCGACACTGTCCTCGCTTCCTCGGACGGTGTCACAGGCAGCGTCCACTCGGCAGCTCGCGCCGCATCAGTTGATTCAGACCTCCAGTACCCGATGGACCGGCATGCTGTGATTTCAGTATTGTCGTCTGGCATGAGCCAAAATTTTAATGAAATTGGCGGTGTAGGTGAATTATTATTTTCGAATTTAAAGGAATGTTACAAAAGGCGAGATAAAGGAAACTATTTTAAAACAATGCACCTACCCACCGATTATTGACACAGAAGTACAGTAATAACACGCACCTTTTCGGGGTGGCGACGCCATTCATGACGGCGGAGGCGACCAAGGACCCGCGGTCTCCATGGGAAGGAGATGGTATTGAGATGCGACCTCTTCTCCACAAGTCCAAGAGGTGCGTATCAACGTGGATGATACTAGATGACGGTGATCACGTAGCTTGGGCTGCACGGGTCGCACGTCGAGTTCGAGAAGCCTCCGCGACCACCTGCGCCGTAGCTCCGAGGGCAGCGAAAGCAGCATCGAATCACCGGGTGGCCATGATGAAGATGTCAGCAGGCAGAGGCTGCTGGAGAAAGCTCGGAACGCGCTTCTGTTCTCGGTGTTCCTTGTCGTGTTGGGGGTCGGAGTCTTGGTGACGGCGTGGGCCCTGTGCACCGCGACCGACCAGTTCATGGCCGCCGGCGCCGCCGTGTCCTGCCTCTTCTCCTTCGCCATCCTCGTCAGCTACATGGAATGCGCGCGACTTCGCAAGTACCCGAACCAGCTCATCGTCCACAAGAGGTTCCCACGTCATCCTTCGTGCCGCCTCCCTTCCTCACTCATCTTGACTAGTGCCATCGATCTCGTACTGTCCGTGGTCAACATGCTGCAGTTCGCATGCGCATCATCTCCCATCGTGCCTTCCCAAACCACGTCCTTCGCCCTAGGTCTCCACAACGCCAGTGTCTTGATTCATAAACACGTTCATCCGTCATAGGGCTTCTCTTCGCGGGAGAGTTTTGGTTCTGCGCCATGTCCATCGACTTGATCCAATCCATCACGAACCCGTTCTCGTCATTCTCGTACAACTTGCATCTGTACCGCGTCTGCTCGGTCCTCTTCGGCGTTGTCGGCAGCCTCACGCTGTCCACGTCATCCACCGCCCTTCTCGCGTCCTTGCCGGTGGTCCATCACCAGATGCAACTGCCATGGATGATCTACTACAGCTCCGTCGCGTGCTCCATGTTGGTGTCCATAGGCTGCTTCCTTTACGTCCAACGGTACTCGATATGTTCACAGAGAGCATGTGAATCTCACACGGCCTGCCTCCATCTTCTCGCTAGACGCCTCGCGACAGGGCTCGAAGAAACATTCGACACGCGAAAACAGGTCTTGGTCCACGGTCTACTCGCCAGTGTCACGTACATCTCGTGGTCGGTCGTCGTGTTGGCCGTCGTTGCCGCCGCCGTCCTCGTTCCGTACGCTCGTCCTTGATGCCGACATGGCGCTCATCCTTGCTTCGTCTAGATCCATCGGCAGTCCTTCCCCCTCCTTCCATGAGTCCATCGTACATCTTCACGCCTTTATGCATGCCGCCAGGGGGCTCGTGAACCTCTTCGTATGGGGGCTCACCAACGGCCGAGACCTCTCTGCTGTCCTCTGCTTCACGCCACACATCTCAGACGAGTTAGACAACCCCGACGAGCTGCTGAAACCGCAACTCAACCTGGCCCTGCGTCGGCAACTCATCCAAATGGCCACGAAAGGTATCGTCGATGCTGTCGAGCACTACCTGCTTCTGCACCAATCGATCCGGACCAACCAATCGTTTGCATTGGACTGGGACCCCAAGCAGCGGTCGACGTCCGTGTCCGGCGTAGACTTTGGCCTGCGACGGCGGCAACGGATGGACGAGATGCACTTTGAGGACTTCCAGCCGCGTATCTTTGCGACCGTCCGGGCGCTGAGCGACATCGACGACCACGAGTACCTGCGCAGCTTCCGCGCGACCGCGAACGAACGACTGAGTGAAGGTCGCAGTGGTGCGTTCGTGTTTTCAACCAGCAACCGGCGGTACTTGGCCAAGAGCATGACCAAAGCTGAGAAAACGTTTCTCATCTCCATCATGCCAGCGTATGTCCAGTACCTCAAGTGGAATCCGTCGACGCTTCTTCCGCGGTTCTACGGCGTCCACGCCATGAAGCTGTACGGCAAGATGTTTTACGTCGTCGTGATGGCGAATATCTTTGCCACCACGGAAGCCATCCACCGCCGGTATGACATCAAGGGGTCATGGGTCGACCGCAACGCCCCTGTCTGTGTCATTCGCGACCTTGTGCGCTGTGCCAACTGCAACAAACAGTTTACATTTGGCGTGAATGACCACGACATTCCGTGTCACTCGACTGTTGGGGAGCACTACCCCGACATTACATTGCGCGACAACGACCTGAAGAAACGCATCAAACTGCCTCGAGGTATTGTGCTTTCGAGTGAAATTTCGTGTTGTTTGTGGTGTGGTTTCTCGTTGAAATTTAAATCGATTTGATTGGCTACCTCAGATGAGCTCAAAATTATTAGCCAATCAAAACCTTCTCAATGAAATTCAACCAATCAGATCGATTCTGGATCGGTTTGGTCGGCGAGATTCGATTGCACCCCCTCCCCAAATTTGTATCAAATCGACAATTAATTGTCTTTCTTTTTTACCCA